CGAAAGAAAGAAAGAAAGAAAGAAAGAACGAACGAAAGAACGAAAGAAAGAACGAAAGAAAGAACGAAAGAAAGAAAGAAAGAAAGAAAGAAAGAAAGAAAGAAAGAAAGAAAGAAGTAGGAAGAAAGAAAGAAGTAGGAAGAAAGAAAGGGAGAAGGGAGGAGGAAGGAAAGGAAAGACATGAAGGGAGGGCGGGAGAACAGAGAGGAAGGAAGAAAAAGAAGAGAGGAAAGGACAGAGGGAAGGGAAGAAGGGAGGGAAGGGAGGGAGGAAGGAAGATGGCTCTTTGTACTAGGAAGCAGCCTGGATTACAGGGATGATTTATATTCTTAACCAAAATGAGAGTGGACCCATCAGGTAGGCTTTTGCAAGCAATTCTACACAGCAAACAACATCTTGTCACACAAGGTCCTGGCAGGTGCTTCGGATACAAGATCCCTCTGTTTTCCCCATTTGTTTATTTTTTTTAAAGGATCATCCTTTGAGCAGGTTGAGCAGAGGTAACCTGGAAATGGTTCTGTCCGTCAGTCAGTCCAGACACAACACCTGTTCTTAAGTGCCCACTGTGTACGGCTGGCACTGGGTGAGACGTTGAAGGTCGAGTCCAAAGGGGGAAACAATTCCATTTGTGTTCTAGTGAGGGATGGAGCACGCTACACATGTCAACCTGTACAGGAGAACAGAGTGAATGAATACAAATACATACAAAGTACTCATACTGGAGATACTCTGAGAAGGAGAGAGCCAGCAATTGGGAAAGGACCATGGAAGGCTCCATGTAGAAAATGGCACCTGAACCAAATCTTAGAAACCAATGAAGAGTCTAGAATGCAGAGGTAAGGAGGGAGGGCATTCCTAGCATGTCTGATGGCTTCAAAGGCCTGGGGATGGGAGATGAACAGTCACTTGTGAGGACTAAAGAGAAGGCCAGGTAGGTAGAGTTCCAGAATGTGGGGGAGGAAATATTTTATGTTCAATCTATGTTAAGGTCATGCAATTTTCCTTGATAAATAACAGCCCTGGAGAGGACTCTGTTTAATGACCCTGTCATTGTGGCTGCTCAGTGAGTCACAAAGCAGGATGGCTGCTGGACCCAGGTGTACGAGGCTGTCACGGAACATGTTCGCCATGACAAGGTCCGGCATGGAAGAGGGTGAGGTCCTCCACGTCCTGGTGGCTTGAGGACCACAATGTGCCTCAGCTTTTCCTGGGCCGCCTCCAGAAGATCCATGGTTACTCCAAAGCACTGTCTCCCAGTCCCCAGTCCCCACACCCCACGTTGGGCAGGCAGTCTACTGGCAGGCACATCAGTGCAGGGGAGCAGACCTGGTTGGGGGCAGGAATCAGCCTGGCCTCTGCCTTGGGGAAGCTGGGAAGTATGGGGCTACTGAGGCACCAAGGAGACAGCCCTGGCCTCATTCTGCTAAGGAGCTGCACAATAGAGACCCAGACAAGTAGAACACAAGATAAATGTGTGTGGCATGCCAGTGTGCCAACGAGGAAGCTTGCATTCTATGTGCACGCACACTTGGGTCTGTGTGTGTAGGAGTATGTATGTACCTGGGTATGCATGTGAACAAATGTGTGTGCCCATATGTATGCGAGTATGAGTGTGCTCAGGCCAGAGGGGGACAGTTCAGCATGGCCGGCTCTCAGGTGGGGAAGGGGCGGGTCTGAAAGGGCGGGGCGGGGCTCAGTTGTTAGGGGGCGGAAGCCAGCGCCCCCTCCCCCAGCTGGACGGCCAAAGGGTAAGGGAGGGCTATCGGAAGGTGAGGGGGGCTGGTCTGAGGAGGAAAAGGAGGAGAGGGTGACAAATGGAGGGCCTCCCAAATCCTAGGGCGCAGGGGAAGGGGAATATGAATGGGGGGCACAGGGGGAGGGGCACAGCCTCAGGTGGGCGGGTCACGGGAGGGGGGAACTCAGTTGGAGGCGGGGAGGGAACGAAAGGGCTTGGGGTCCCACTTGCGAAGAGGAGGAGCGGGCGAGGTTTGGGGGCGTGGGGAGGGGCGAGGTCTCTTCTGCCGGTTGGGAGAGGGAGGGAACGGAGAGGGGGAGGAGAGAGAGAGACACACACACACACACACACACACACACACTCGGAGAGGGAGAGAGGGAGAGACAGAGAGAGAGGGAGAGAGCAGGCGGCAGGAGAGAGGGAGCGGGGAAGGAAGGAAGGAAGCGAGGAGGAGGAGGCGAGGAGGAAGGAGCGGGAGGCGGCAGCGGCGGCGGCTGGAGGAGGAGGTGGAGAAGGAGGAGGAGAAGGAGGAGGAATCCCGAAGCCTCCGCCAAGCCTGCCAGCCACGAGGGGGGCGGGGAAGGGGGGAGCCCGGAGCCCGGAGCCCGGAGCCCACCCAGAGGCAGAAGAGGGGGCGGCCCGAGGAGGGAGGGGGCGTTCTGCGGATGCCCAGGGCCCGGCACGGCCCGAGGGGGGGGTGAGGTCCCCGGCCCTCCCCTCCCCCCTCCCCCCCTCCGGGGTGCTAGGGCATGGCCTGAGGGGGGGGTCTCTGTCTTCGGGGGGGTGGGGGGTGGGGAGGGAGGGGGGACAGGGGGCCGCGGGCGCCGCCGACTGGGACGCAGCAGCCCCGCCGGTCAGGTAAGGGGGACTGGGGGCGTGGGGGGAGGCCGGGGCTTGGAACATGTGTGAGTGCGGATAGAAGGGATGGGGGGGGACACTCCGAGCCGTCTTTAGCCGCTGCCTCCCCATTTGGGGGAGGGGGAGGGACTGGGTGAGGGGAACGGTTGCCGTGGGCAACGTTGAATTGGGTTACGCCCCAGTCCCCGGTGCCCTGTCCCAGATCCCGAGCCAAGCGGGGAGGGGGTTGGGGTCCTGAGGGAGGTGGGGCGGTCCCCCTAGTGCCCGTCTCCCCCAGACCTTGGCCTTGCTGCTCCACTCCTACCTTCCTAGCCTCCTGGGTTTGGGTGCTCCTTCTCCAGTACTAATCCCCCTTCCGTGGCCACTCCCCCATCCCCCGCTGTCTCCTGTCCCCAGTGTCCCTCACCTCCCTCATGCCCGGTCCCACCATCTCTCCCAGCGCCTCTGTCCCTCTTGTCCTCTCTGACCCCATCCGTCTTTGTCTTCTCTGGCCCTCCGTCTCTCTCCCCAGCGCCCCCACCCATCTCTCTTGTCCTTTCTCCTTATTCCCCGTCACCCCATCTCTCTTGTCTTCCCTCTTTTTGTCCTCTGTCCCTTTTGTTTCCCCTCCTGCCCATTCTCCCTTCTCTTCCTCGTTATCCCTCGTCTCTTCTGTCCCATGTTTCCAGTCCCTTATCCCAGGCCACCCCAGAAGCCCTCACCTCATGCTCACTCTGGCCGTGGCACCCCTCCCCTCCTCTCCGTGAGGCCTGGGCCTCCATGCCCTTCCTCTTCATCCTCAGAGAGGCCCCTTCTCCCTAGCCTCTCAGGCTCCCATAAAAGCCCCCCTATCTCCCCACTATTTTTTGCCTCATCTCTCCTCCGGCACCTTCCTCATTCTCTCTTCCTTCTAATTTTCCTCTTTCACATGGATCCCCATGTCTGCTGCCATCGTTTTCCCCCTGCCCCCTTCTCTCCTCCCTCCCGTGCTCCCCCACCATCTCTCACCGGTATTCTTCACCCCTGTGCCCTATTAACACCTCAGTTTCCTTCTCCCATTGCCTTCCTTCCTCCCACTGCCATTCCAGGTCTTCTTCCCTCATTCAGCTCGTACTATGATACTCTTCCCTTTCCTCTTCCTTCTCTCCTTGCACCCCTCCCCCAAGCCTCTTATTCCCTCCCCCTTTCCCCAGCCTCTGCCCAGTCTCCCCTTTTCCACCCTCATTACAACCGGGTTCTCTTATCTCTTTCCCCTCATTACGCCTCCCGCCCCCCTCCCCCCAGTCTCATTCCTTCTCAGTTCCTGGAAAGCCTCCCTTGTCCACCCCCAGGAGCCTCCTCTTTGCCCTTCCTCCTTCCTTTTTCTCTTGCCTGCTCCCCATTTCCCACCACTTCCCTCTTCTCTCCCCCACCTCAGTCCAGTCTCTCCCTGTCCTCCCCCAGGAGCACCCTGTCTCCTCTTCCCTTCCTTCTCTTCTCTGCATTTCTCCCCATCTCAAGCACACTCACTTCTCCTTTTCTTTCTCCCTCAGCTTGGCCCTGCCCAGTGTCCCCTTGGCCACCCCTCACCCCATACCCCCTGTTTCCCCTTTTCTCTTCCCCCCCACCCCCCAGGGCTGCCATCCTCAGCCTGTCTCCTCACCAGCTGCGTTCTAGCTATTCTTAGCTACCGGCGCGCTTGATTCATGCCGCCCCGGCGATGTGTGCCAGCTCCCGCCCTCAGCCCAGGGCTGGGGGGGAAGGGGGAAGCCAGTGTTTGTCCAGGCCTGGGGGGTGGGAGGTTCTAGTGCTAGCCTTAGGAGGTAAGGAGGCAGATCTGCAGGCAGATGGAGCCAGGTATCAGCTCTATTGCTCTGGGTGATTTTGGGGGGGGTGATGAGCTGAGTCTTTGGAAACCCCACTCCCCCCAATTCCATCAGGGCTGAGGTCAACTGGAGCATTGGGTTGGGGATCATGTGACTGGATGCCAAATCTTGACGGGAACAGGAGCTGGGAGGAGAGGGGGTTGCCTGGGTTCTTGTGGGAAAAATGCTTCTAACACAATTTGTCCTCCCCTCACCCCCCTCCCAAAGTCAGCTGGGCCTTGGCTGCTTTGGATCTCCATGGAAACCCAGGAGCCTGGCCTTACTTGGGATGGGGGTGGGGGGCGGGCCAAAACCATGCAGTCTTGTTTCTAGGGCTGAGGGGAAGGGGCTAGACAAGGGGGTGGTCTTAAGCCGATTCCTGTTTCCACCTCAGGACCACCTCCTCACACAGTGTCAGTTGAGAGGGAGGAAAAGGGGGAGAGAAGAGAGATAGTGAGTGAGAAGAGGAAGGGGGGATAGAGACAGAGGGAAGAAGGGAGGAGGGAGAGAGAGTGGGGGGAGGGAGAGAGAGAGAGAGAGAGAGAGATCAGGTCCCCTCACTTCATTCACTATCAGCACCACTCCCTCTCTGTATCGCCAAGTCTACCCCCTATCTCTACATCCCCAGTATTTCTGTCCTAATTGACCCTTTACCCAGTTACTATCACCCTTGCCACCATCCCACTGGCACCAGCACCAATGCATCAGTCCTCCTAGGTGCCACACCCACCTCATCCCCATAAAAGGCCTTGTTCACCTCCACCCACCCTCACAGTCTTCACCCAAATTTATCTGGCTGCCCCAGCACACCTCCACAATGTTCTACCCCACTATGTCCCCATTCACATTTTCTTCTGGGGACAGTTACCTAGACAACACCCTTTGAGGTACCTTGTCCAGCTCCACATGTACTCACAGAGTCACCCCAACTCCCAAAGCTGCTGTCCAGCCTTCCCTTCCCTTCTCAGCCTAGTGATCCCAGATGCCCCCTTCTTCCAGGTGCTGGGCCAGGGTGAGGTGCAAGGCTGGGGCAGGAGGGCAGGCTACCTGTCAGGCCATTCATGCTCCCATGCCTAATTTTAGCAGCATTTTCGGTGGCTTGGCAAAGTGGGCCAGTAGCTCCCGCGGTGATTCCTCGGTTTCTGGGACACGGCTACGCTGGGTCAGCGGCGAAGTGGGGCAGATGGGGGGGCAGCCAAGGACAAGGGCAAGGAGACAGCTTGGGCTGCATGTGTGTAGGGGACTCATGTTGGGGGCGCGTCTGGAGGTGAGGAAGGGCAGTGACCACCTCGGTACCTGGGCAGCTGCTGGGCATCAAAGCTGGATGTGTAAGATAGCAGTGTTGCCCTCAGCCCTCCACGTGCCCTCCGTCTGGGGTGGGGACAAGTCCCCCTCCTTTGCCTTGTCCCAGTCCCGTGTCCAACAGAACAGGAGGGAGGGGCAGAGGAGAATGCCCGGCCCGGGGCTCTGCAGAGCTTGATGGGCCGCGGGCCCCCGAGGGAGCTCTTCCCAGCCCCTGGCAGCCCTTCATCGTGACATCCCTGCTCCTAGTTTCCTGCTTTCCCACAAGTCTGAGGTGGGCCGACCACCTGCTCTCTCTTCCAGCTGCCTGTGATGCTGCGGCTCCCTGTGGCCCCGCGGCCCCACGATGCCCCGAAGTCCTGTGTCCAGCGAGGAGGAGCGACGCAGTGTGAGCGAGTGCCCCGAAGGGGGCTCCGAGTCCGACAGCTCCCGGGACGGCCCGGGGAGGGGACCCAAAGGGGTCCGGGGCCGGGCTGGGGGGGCTGGCATTAGCCTGGCCTCTGCCCGCCGCCTGCAGGGCCGCTCCATGTCGGTGCCCGACGACGCCCACTTCAGTATGATGGTCTTCCGGATTGGGATCCCAGATCTGCATCAGACTGTGAGTGGGGAGGGTCTGGATTGAACTGGGAGGCACCAAGTTGGGCAGATGTAGGAACTAATTCATGTCAGGAACAGGAGAGAAGGCCGGACCTGCGAGGTCCTTTAAGCTCCAGATCCCATAGTCTACTACTCAGGGGCCGGGGAGGCTGACTGCTGAGGGGGAGATCACTAGGGAAGGCAGAGGGATGGGCTCTCTTCAGTGGCTGCCCTTCCCTCAGAAAGGCCCACCTCCCTTCTAAGCCTCTGCACACTCTCGTCCCTACCCCAGAAATGTCTGCGGTTCAATCCGGATGCCACCATCTGGGCTGCCAAGCAGCAAGTCCTGTGTGCCCTGAGCGAAAGCCTCCAGGATGTGCTTAACTATGGGCTGTTCCAGCCAGCATCCTCCGGCCGGGATGCCAACTTCCTGGAGGAGGAAAGGCTGCTTCGAGAATACCCCCAGTCCTTTGAGAAGGGCGTACCCTACCTCGAGGTAAGCGGCACCCCGGTCGTGGTCTACCCAGCTCTCTTCCCCCACACCCCCCTCCCAAGACACACCCTCCAACTGAGGCACGTCTTCCAATGACTTTCTGGTAGGTGGTGCTCCTGAAATTGTTGGATTCTAGAGTTAGGTTATACAGCCATTAGAGCAGTAGAGTGCCAGGCCTGGAGATGGAGCAATGCCCTTGTAGTAGAGATGAGGGAATTGGAGGGGAGGGGTCAGGAGCCTCCTGCAAGGTCAGAGAAGTAAGAAGCGGCGACAGCTTTTAGACCACAGAGCCAGGGCTCTTTCCCCATTCCCCACTGTCCTTGGGGCAGCTGAAGAACACACGCGTCCAGCTTTGGTGGAATTAGATCGAGTCCCTTAGTCCCTCTGGGCCTCAGTCTCCTCTGTAAATGTAAAATGAGAAATTGAAATGAGTGGTCCCTCTGGCCCCTTCCAGCTGGCACACAGGCCACCCCCAGTCCCCTGGCCCCAGGTCCTCCTGTGACCCTTTTCCCAAAGGTTCTCCTTACCAGGTAACTATCTGCTACCTGCATACCATTCCAGTTACCGGTTGTAGCCATGACCCCAACTTCCCCAGGACAATAGCGTACTGGCTGACTGCTGGCCCTTGGTGTCCCAGAACGCTTCATGTTCTCCCTGAGACTTCATTTTCAAGGCTTCCCTGACCCCGACACTCGGGGTTATCTCTCCACTTTTTTCACTGTGGGAACCCATATCTCCGTTCCTCTTTACCTGACATCCATTGTTGGCCTGTCCCCTTTGCTCAGACTGAGTTGAGGGCAGGGCTGGGGGCTGAGGGGTACTTCCCTTCCCCTCCCCCCGTTCCCTCCTTGTCCCCCAGTCTTGGGCTTCCTCTCTAGCTCACTGTCTCCCTGACACTGTCTCATCTCTCTCTCTCTAACGTCACTTCCCACTGTGCCTCAGTTCCGATACAAGACCCGGGTTTACAAACAGACCAATCTGGATGAGAAGCAGCTAGCAAAACTCCATACCAAGGTGAAAGAAAGGGACTCTGTCTCCATCATCTGCTTCCATCCCTGTGACACCTCCAGCCACCCTCCACATTTCCCCCCTCATCTTCCCCCTCCATATGTGAGCCTCAGAATTTCTCCCAGTACTCCCCAAGTTCTTCTAATCAATCACGTGGGCTTGTGTCTAGTTTGTCAAGTGACAAACTTGAAAGCACTATATACCTGTGAGCTATAATTCTATTTTGGGACTCTACAATCCCTTCCTGTCTCCCTGGAATCTCTACATTCCCCACTGTGTCTGCTGTATTCTTTACCTCACTAACCATATCCTCTGCCTCACGATTGCCAACACCCTCCATGCCCATTCCACTTTCTCATAAACCCCCATGTTCTTCTTCCTGCAATTCCTTATCTATCTACCTACCTATCTGCCTGTCTATCTACCTATTTGCCTGTCTGTCTATCTATCTATCTATCTATCTATCTATCTATCTATCTATCTATCTATCTATCTATCTATCTATCTATCTATCTATCTGCCTATCTATCTATCTGCCTATCTATCTGCCTATCTATCTATCTATCTATCTATCTATCTATCTATCTATCTATCTATCTATCTATCTACCTACCTACCTACCTATCTATCTATCTATCTATCTATCTATCTATCTATCTATCTATCTGCCTATCTATCTATCTATCTATCTATCTATCTGTCTGTCTGTCTGTCTGTCTGTCTGTCTGTCTGTCTGTCTGTCTGTCTGTTTATCTATTCCTTTCTCTGTATCTCCTATTTCTCTTACATTGCAAGAGGCTGGGATGGGGGTGGGGAGGAGGGTAACAGCTGTGGGTCCTACTTCAATTCCTCAGGAATAAGCTCCTTGAGAGCAAGGGATATTTTATTCTTGTCTTTGTATCCCCAGCTCCTAGGACAGCGTCTTGCATATAGTGGGTGCTAAATAAGTTCTTGTTGAGTTATTGAATTGAATTGACTGGCTGCCGCATCCTCCTGTGGCCCCACCATGTTCATTTCTCATCTCATGGTTCCTCCAAACATCCTCTATTGACCCCTCACAGGCTTCTTTTTTGACCCCCTATTTCCTATCCTGGAACACTCCATTCCTGTCTCTTATCCTTATCCCCAATCATTCCCCATTTCATCTCCCTAAGCTTCTCCTCTCTGAGAGGGACAGGCCTGGGGATACCTGAGTCCACCAGAGAAGGGAAGTAGAGGATGTCTGGCATTGGGAGACCCTATGTCTCCTACCATCCGCCATCCTTTCCCCAACCTCTGCGCATCATCCCCTACTCTTCCATGGCCCTAAGTGTGTTCTTTTGTGTGTGTGTGTGTGTGTGTGTGTGTGTGTGTGTGTGCATGTCCTGACCTAGACCGGGTTGAAGAAGTTTCTGGAGTATGTACAGCTTGGCACATCTGACAAGGTGGCAAGACTGTTGGACAAGGGGCTGGACCCCAATTATCATGACTCTGACTCTGGAGGTATGATCTCTAGGGTGCTGGGGATTAGAGGGCTGGTGGCTGGGTGACTAGGGGCTTGGGGGCTGGGAATCTGAGATGATGAGCAATTGGAAGATTCCGAGGTTCATGCCAGGAGGTGAGGGTCCAGCCCTGGAGGATTGGGGATGTATTAAAAGACTGAAGGGAATGCAGAGGTCCTGGGGATTGAGGTGGAGGGGTTCTGAGAGGTTAAGGTGAGCTATTGGATTGGTAGGTTGGAGTCTGGAGTTTGGGGAGATTACAGGTGGTGAAAGCTTATAGGCTAAAGTGTTAGGAGTCAAGACATTTCTGAGGATCTAGCAGCTTAGGGATTCTGGGAGTTGGGGAGTAGAGGACTGGGGTTCTGGGGATCAAAGGACTGGGTTTGAGGGGCCAAATGACTGGATGGTTTGAGGTATTTAAGAAAATTTAGGGGAGGAAATGATACCAATCATTAAATGTTTGAAGGACAGTTTTGGGGGTGAAGCTGTGCTCTGTAACCCCAGATGCAAAGGTAAGAGCAGTGAGTGATGGTTACAGAGGGAGATGAGTTTGACAATGAAAAGGGGTGTTGGCCCCTCCCAGGAGGGTTTCAAGTGGAGGTCGGCTGACTACTTCTTAGAGGTTACAGAGAGGACTCCTGTTCATTGATGGGTTAGACTTAGGGTCCCTTCTAATTTGAATGTTCTGAATGTGTTCTAGGTTTGGGGGACTGAGGGAAGGGGTGAAAGGTTATGGGGATACAGGCTCGGGAGGTCTGAGGATGTGGAGGAAATGGAGAATTCTGGGAGCTTAAGGGACTAAAGGACATGGAAATTTGGTGCTTTAGCACAAGGCAGAGAACTGGGCCATTCCTGAGATCTGGGGGACTGGACTGGGGACCAGGGTTTCATGAATTGGGGGGCAGAGGCTGGAGGCAGTAGGTTAAAGAGGTCAGGGAACCAAGTGGGCTGTGGGCTCAGGTGACTCTGAGGTTGAGAAAATGGGGGAAGAGGGGCCAGACTGGAGGACATAAGAACACCCCTAACCCTTCCTCAGAGACTCCTCTGACGCTGGCAGCCCAGATTGAGGGCTCGGTGGATGTGATCCGCACACTGTGCTTGGGTGGAGCCCACATTGACTTCCGGGCTCGAGATGGGATGACGGCGCTACATAAGGCTGTATGTGCCCGGCACTGCATGGCCCTCACGGTGAGACACCCCATTCCACACAAGTAGACCTCCGGAAATACTAATTCTTCCCCAAACATTGCCCATTCAGACTCCCTAGATATTCCCCTGAGACCCTTTCAGAAGGTCATTCTGGAAAGACTCCTTCAACAAAGACCCCTCCAATAGAAACCTCAAGGACCCCCAAAGAACTCTCCAGAAGAGAGACTACCCAGAAAGATTCCCCAGAGACCCTTCAGAGACTTCAGAGAGAGATGCTCCAACAGGGATCCTTCCAAGTTCTTTGGAGACCTCCCCAGAGAAGCTCTGAAATATCTATTCTTCACTCCCCTTCCAGAGGAAGCACCAAATTAACAAAGACCCCAGAAACCTCCTAATGAAGACCCCCCCCACAGTCTCCTCAGAGATCCCCCCAAAGGGAGGCCTCTCAGAGGACTACTAAAATACCCCCACACAAGCTATGTCAACCCCCCACCTCTCTTAGACGGTCCCCCGGGGGCTCTGCATTGCCCCTGGGATGCTCGCTCCTTCCCGCCGACTTGCCCCTACTGCTGCATAGACCCAAAAAGCAATCATCCAGTCTTAACCGTTTAATGGTCCCTGAGCTTCCTGGCTCCTCTCAGGGCAGCCCCTTCCCTCTTGGGGCAGCTCGCCTTTCCACTAGGCTCCACAGCCTTGACATCAGACTCTGTCAGCCACTTTCATCGTCCCTCCTCCTGCCCCTGGCCCCTGGGGCCAATCAGAGCCAGTCTAATCCCTCTTCCTGGGGCTGGCCCTTTGAATCTGGACCTAGCAATCGTGCTCTTCTCCCGGTGAGATGCCCCAGACCCTTTGGGATGGGCCTCATGTGGCACAACCCCATCCTGGCCTCCCTCCTCTCTCAATCCAGCTACCTCACATGTGGTGGGCTTTAAAACTGAACCCAAAACTCCAGTGGCCTGGCTCAGAGGACACAAGCCCAAATGCCGCCCCAGGCTTCTTAATGCCCCCTAAGGGCTCCTCAACCTCCAGATGGACTCAGGCTGAACTGGGGTCTGCTGGACCTGCCGATCTTCCCATTTCCTACTTATGTGGCTGAACACGCAGACTGTCCTCACACACCTCACTTCCCCCGGGGCCTCTAAATGTCTAGATATGCCCTCTCCCAGCTCCTCTTCTCTGAAATGATCTTCCCTACTTCCTCAGAGAAAGGCGGCACTCTTCCACCCCCTGAATCCCAGCACAAATATTTAGTGCAGTGGAAAGAACACCAAAGACCACTTGGAGAGACGATTCAAGTCACTCATTTTTTGATGACCTTGAACAAGTCTCTTGTCCTCTTTGGAGTTCCATTTCCTCTTCTCTAAAATGACAGGATTGGATTAGATGCTGTCTAAGTCCCCCTTCTCATCTTAGGCTGTAATGAGTGCATCCCAGGGGGCAGGCTCTAGTTCCCCTTCCCCCCCCTGGCTTCACCCTTTGCCCTCCATTTTATCCCTTGTGCTAACTCTTGGGATCAAACACACAGAATTGTAGAATTACGAGACCCTGAGGCTAGGAATATTGGAGCTGAGAGGGGCCTTGCAGCAGAGCAGAACTGGGAAGGTACTTAAAGCAAAGAATGGGATGGAGCTTAGAACACAAGAATGTCATAACTGGGAAGAAGAGCCTTAGACCGGGCACTTAAGAGCTGGGAGGGAACCTAGAACACAGATGGTCAGAGCTTAAAGATGCCTTAGAAGACCCAGCGGGATGACGTTAGAGCTGGAATGCGCCAGAGAGATCCTCTATTCTGACCCTTGTTTTGAAGAATAAAAACCTGAGGCAGAGAGAAGGAAAGTGACCTTTCAAGGTCATAGAGGACACTCTGGTCAAACCAGGAACAGTATCCAGGTGTCCCTCAAGCCAACAAGCAGTTATTAAGCACTTAAGGTGTAGGCTCTGTGCCAAGCTCTGGGGACACCAACATAGAGTCATCTAAGTCCACGAATAAGTACAGCCCAGTGTGCCAGTGCCTGGTTCACAAACTCCTGAGTACTATTGAAAGCTGAAGATGGGGAGATCACTTTTGGCTTCCTATAGGAGGTGGCTGCTGAGATGTACCTGGAAGGGTGGGTTAGATTTTTCAGTAAGTGGACATGTGGCAGAATTTTAGAATGTGTTATTTAAAAGATAATCAGTGAGTGCTTAGAAAGATATGCATTGATCACAGCCCACATGCCTTCATCAAGACAGGGTCGAAGCAAGTGAACCTCATTTCCTTCTCTGACAGGGCTACTAGCCTGCTAGGTCAGGGGCATGCTGTAGGTACAGAGCTCGCAAAGCATTTGATAAAACCTCTTCTGCTACTTTTGTAGAAAGAATGGAGAGACATGGGCAAGCCCATCATACAGTCACATGGCACTGGAGTTGTTTGCATAGCTGGACCCAGAGTGTGGTCAATAATTTGCTATCATCTTGGCAGAAAGTCTCTTCCAATAGAGAGTTCCAGGCATCTGAGCTGCTCAACATTTTAACAATGGCTTGGATGGAAACATGAATGACGCGCTTATCAGAATTGCAGATGGCAAAAAGCTGGGAGGGGTAACTAACACATTGGAAGACAAAGTCTTCTTTAAAAAGATCTTGCCTCATTTGAATAAAATAAGCTTTAATAGAGATCAATATAAAGTCTTACACTTTGGTTCAAAAAATAAACTTCCTTAGTGTAAGAGGGAGGAAGGAGGCTTGGCAATACAGCAGTTCATCTGACAAAGATCTGGAAGTTTTAGTGAACGGAGGTTTTGGCTAGAGTGTCATCCCAGTGACACAAAGCCAAGCCCACCAGGCTACATTCAGAAAGACAGAATGTGTCCAGGACTCTCAGAGGTGACAGCCCCCATATTCTGGTCTGGTCATATCCCATCTACAGGACTGTGCTCCATTCTGGACATCACATTTTAGGAAAGATGTGGATAAACTGGGACATCGTGAGGATGACCACCATGATGGTTACAGGCTTTGAGGTCATGCTCTGTCAGAGTCGTTTGAAGGAGCCAGGGACACTTAGAGTGGAAAAGAGAAGACCTGAAGAGGACATGACAGTTGTCTTCAAGTATCTGAAGGACTGTCATTGGGAAGAGGATTTAGATTTGTTTTGCTTGAGCCCAGAGGGCAGAATCCAGAAACATGGAGAGAAATCTCTGCTTCATGTCAGGACTTTCTAATTATTAGAACTACCAAAGAAAGAAAGAGTTGCCTCCCAAAGTCATATGTTCTTCCTCCCTTGAGATCCTTAAAGCTGTCAACAGACTGCAATGATGGGCTGAATGAAATGAACAGATCAATGTAAATTACTGCCTACACTTGGGCTCAAAAAATCAACTTCATGAGTGGAAGGTGTGGGCTGAATTTAATAGGATGACATTTAATAGAAATGGAAAAGCCTACATTTGTTTTAAGTCATCTGCACAAGTACAGGATGGGGAATTTGTGGCTAGATAAGAGTTTGTGAGCAAAAGACCTGGGGGCTTCTAGGGGAGCTGGAGCTCACTGCCAATCATCAATTCGATATGGCAACCAAAAAGCCTAACCAAACCTCGGGCTGTGTAAAGAGAACGCTGGTATCTGGAGTGAGGGAGGTGATAGTCCCACTAGACTTTGCCCTTCTCAGATCCCATGTGGAGAACTGTGTTCAGTTCAGGGTGCCATGTTTTAGACAGGACATGGACAAACTGGTATTGCATTCAGAAGGAGACAAGGAAAGTCAGAGAACTAGAGACCATGCCATGGAAGGGTCAGCCTAGAGATGAGAAGTCTTAGTTAGGGGACAGGTGGGAGCTACCTTCAAATATCTGTAGGGCTGGGTTACACCTGACCCCACAGGCCAGAATGAGGAGAGATTGATTTCACCAGGATGCCAAGGAAAACTTCCTACCAACTGTCCAAAAGCTGTCCATAAGTGGTATGGGCTGCCTTGAGAAAGATGTCTTTTAAAATTTGTATTAATTTTATTTTTTAAATGAACAAAGATTCACTTTCTCTCCCTCCCAGCTGCTGGTGGAAGGAGTTTCCTCACCAGAGAGCTTCCAAAACTGATGAGATAACAAGTCTGGGCTGGACAAAATGGCCTTTGAGGTCCCTTTAGCTTTAGAAAATAAGATTCTCAGGGCAACTAGGTGGCAAAGTGGATAGAGCACCAGCCCTGGATTCAGGAGGACCTGAGTTCAAATCCAGCCTCAGACGCATAACACTTACTAGCTGTGTGACCCTGGGCAAGTCACTTAACCCCATTGCCTAGCCAAAAAAAAGAAAGAAAATAAGATTCTCGGGATTGGAACCCAGATGTTTTGACTCTAATTCTGTTGTTCTTTCAGCCAAATTAGCCCAAATATAACCGTATCATTTTAGTGATGAGGAAACAAGGGAGGGCTGACTGCTTCAGGGGATGAGGGAAAGGGAAATGGTTTGGGTCCAAAGACCAAAGGTACATCAAGCCAATGCAGACAAATCAGGATGAAGAAATAGATGCTGAGAAGGTCAGTCCCAGCTCAGCCCAACCTTCACTCTATGCCCATGGACCCTTCCCCTCCCTATTCCCAGGCTGAGCCCAGGACACTGCCAGGATTAGAATCATATCTTTGTGTTCATCTGGTCCAACACTCACTTTTTACAGATGGAGAAACGGACCAGTGAGGGGCATGGATCCCAAGATTCAGAGCTGGAAAAGGCTTTAGAGATCAAATACCAATACCCCCCATTTTACAGAAGAGGAAACTGAGGCCTATAGCAGTTAAATGACGTGGCTATGGTTCTACAAGTCGTAAATTAGCAGAGTCAGAATTCTAATCCAAATTTTCCATCTCCCGAACCCTAGCTCTTTCCACCATGCAACCATTACTCTCTCTGCTCCAAGTCACTTTAGACAGTAACCCATTCTGTCTGCTCACCTGCCGAGGGCAGAGCCACTTTGGAACTTGAGTGCGGTGAACGCCCCCGCGCCCCCCCCCGTCCTACCATGCCAGTGAGATCCTGCCCCGTTACCCTGGCTCCCTCCTGTGTCTCTTCTTAGGGACAGGCAAGGGTTTGCATTAACCTGAGACCTACTTTCTATCCTTTGCCTCCCTTCCAGGCTCTGCTGGACCTCGGGGGATCCCCCAACTATAAGGACCGCCGGGGGCTGACTCCTTTGTTCCACACGGCCATGGTGGGTGGAGACCCTCGATGCTGCGAGCTCCTGCTCTATAATCGCGCCCAGTTGGGTGTCGCTGATGAGAATGGCTGGCAGGAGATCCACCAGGTCTCTGGGACCCAGGGCTTCTTGGGGCGGGGCAGAGACTGGGGAGAAAGCCTAGGCATGGGTCAGACGGGCTGGAGCACCGAAGGTGCGAGGTTGGGTTTCTGAGGATGAGAGAGGACGGAGGATGCTTGTGGATGCCTGGAGTATTAGGACCAGGGCGGAGTGTGTGCCTGTGTCCTGAGGTTGGGGGGACCTGGGCTGTGTGTAGCTGTCGGGCCTCTGGGGACCCTGGGAATGGAGTGAACAGGGAGCAGATACCGAGTCCCTGAGGGAGGCGAGGAGCTGGAAGGGAGTTTCTGAAAGAACTTCTCTCACTTCTGCTCCCTTTCCCTGATGCCCCACTCAGGCCTGCCAGAGGGGTAACTCCCAACACCTGGAACACCTGCTGTTTTACGGGGCCGAGCCAGGTGCCCAGAACGCGTCGGGGAACACAGCCTTGCACATCTGTGCTCTCTACAACAAGGTCGGTCTTTACAGGGACCTCTCCAGCTCCTGCTTCCGCTCCCGCTCCCGCTCCTCCCTGGCCACCCCGCACACCACCTTGCCTTATGCCCCAGCCCCTCTCTCTGGGTCTTCCCCTGAGCCACCTGCAACAATCCACCCTACACCCACAGCCTGGAAGCATGTGTGCACTCAGCCCTCTGCTGTGTACTCTGGGGGGATGGCAGACGTCTGCTTCAGTGCTTGTCCACAAATTTACAAGAGAGTGAGGAGATGTGGGCTGTGCTCAGTAAAAGGCTGTAGGTGTTGGGGGAATATTAACAACTCAGAATCAGGAGTCAGAGCTGGAAGGGCCCTTCAGGCATATAACATCAGAGTTGTCAGAACGGGCTCTTTGAGCTCCTTCCTCATTTTACATTTGAGGAAACTGAGGCTCAGTTTGGGCTAGGGACTTCCCAGACACCCCACAGCAAGATCCCTGGTCCTGCTGATGGTCTGGGCTTCTTGGACCCTAGAGGTCTCTGGGATCTGGCTGATGTTTGCTGAGCCTGTCCTCGGCCAGCAAAGACCCAGAGCTTTTCTGTAGAGTCCTAGTAGCAGAGCAGTGGGGCCTCTGAGGTCCCAGGAGTCCCTCTCTGCCCTTGACTTTCCTGTCCATCATGACCTTCTGCAAATCATCCCGAGGGAATCTGGCATCCCTAGGGAGGTCTGCCTGCTGGGGCAGGGGTTGGGCTACATATTTGATGAGCCCAGCTCCTGCCTTCCCTACTTAGAAGCATACTCCCACAAGAGCAGACACTTGCAATGTCCCAGAATCCTAGAATTTATGAGGTACCAGGGATCTTAGCAGGTATCTAGGCCACCCTGAGAAAAGATCACCTAGCTTCCACTTGCACACCTCCAGCAATGGGAAGCTCATCACCTCATTCACTTTGGAGCAGGAAGTTTTTCCATCTATCAGCCTGACATCTCCACCTCTGCGAATTGTGCTTCTTGCTGCTAGATCTGTCCTCTGGAGCCAGGCAAAGCCAGTCCCATCCCTTCCTTTTTCCTCTGGTAATCCTTCCCATTCACCGAGCATGTATCTGTCCTCATCCCCCAAGTCTTCTCATCTTCCCCAGTTCCTTCGAAGTACCCCACAAGGGCACAGTTTTCCATCTCATCCTCATCCTGGCCTTTGTCCCCCCATGAGTTCCCTCAGGCTTATCAAAGTCCTTCCTCCAATGGGTCACAATGCTCCAGATGAGGGTCTGAGCAAAGAAGGAGCCAGTGGGCCCATTACAAGTCTCACCTAGTTCCAAACATCATGTTTCTCTTCTTGCTGCCTAAGACCAAGGTCACTTTACTCGGCCGCTGCATTCCAGTCTTGTAGCAGATTGGGCTCGTGGTCTGCTCAGATCTTTGGGTCTTTTTCACATGAACTACTGTATAGCCAAACATGCCCTGTAGAGGCAGCTGTGGGCATAGTGGTCAGGAAGACCTGGATTCAAATAATGCCTCAAACTCTTATTAGCTGGGAAAGTCAACATCTGACTGCCTGAGTTTCTTCATATGTAAAATGAGGATGATAATAGCATCTAGCTCTGAGGATTGTTATGAGAATCAAATGAGATCACATTTCTAAAGCTCTGAGCACAGTGCCTGGCACATAGTAGGTGCTCTATAGAGGCTTCCCCCCTCCCCCTTCATCCTATATTTATATTTAACCCCAAAGTAGACCTTAAGTGTAATTTTATTAAGTCCATCCCATTGTTCTGTCCTCTTGATGTCTGTTTTGTTCTACATTCTAAGATAAAAAATTAGAGTGCAAGAAAGCCCAGATGAACTCCATCTTTGGGTATTAAAAGAACTAGTGGGTGTGGTTTGGGAGAGCATGAGACCTACCCAGGAACAGAGAATGTTCCCAGATAGGAAGAGGCCATGGGAGGCAAACTCTCAGCCCTTGAGCTGGCCCCATGTTCCTGAGCTTAGCATTCCAGATGTGATGGCTGAACATCTTCAGAGGGACGGGTGATGCCAAGAGCCAGGCTGGCTTCATCTACCTGGACCTCATTTCATTTTCTGACAGTGTCTATAAACCAGCAGAAGAATGCCAGATATGATTTACCTAGATTCGAACAAGGCATTTGAGAAAATATCTCATCCTATTCTTGTTGGAAAAGATGGAGAGATGTAGGCTAGGAAGGTGAACTTGAAACTGGTTTAATGGCCAGACCCAAAAAGTAGCATTAATGGTTCAATGTCTACTGGACGGGAAGTGTCCATTGGAGTACCAGGGGATCTAGGTGAGGCTTGGTGCACATTTTTTCTCCATGGCCTATTTCTGGGTTGACACACTGGATGACAATGTCAGGCCCCCAAAAATCTTGATGGGGTATGAGCATTGGGCTGAATCTAATAAGATGAAATTCAGTAGGGATAAGTGTAAGGCCCTGTCCTTGGGTTTGAAACATGAATTTCACTAGCCTTTTGTCTGAAAATCACTTAAAGTTTTAAGTGAACTTCAAGTTGGAGACTTGTCATGGGAGGGAGTGAGCAGATAGGGAACAGGCATTAATTAAGCACTTACTATGTGTCAGGCTCACATTTGATCCTCACAACACACCTGCAAGCAGGTGCTACAGTTGTTCTATCGTTCTTTCAGTTGTTTCCCACTCTTCGTGACTCCATTTGAGATTTTCTTGGCAAAAATACTGGAGTTGTTCGCCATGTCCTCTTCCAGCTCATTTTACAGGTGAAGAAACTGAGGCAAACAGAGTGAAGTGACTTGCTCAGTGTCATGCAGCTACTAAGTATCTGAGGCTAGATTTGATCTCCAAAGATGAGTCTTCCTGACTCCAGGCCCAGTGCTCTATCCATAGTGCCATCTAGCCACTATCATTAAAGTAATAATAATAATAATGATAATGATAATAATATAATAACAATAAAATGATCACTTAAAAATGAGGAAACCAAGGCAGGTAGAGGTTAAATGACTTGCCCAAGGTCACACAACTAGTAGTGGATGTCTGAGACTGAAATTGAACTCAGGACTGCCTGACTCCAGACTCAGCCTGCCACATGGCAGCCCCCAGAGCCCATGCGATCTGAGCTTGCATGCACAGGGATGCAGCTTCCAGGAGCAGCGAGGCAACGGTGCCACTGCCCTCATCAGACCCCCCTCTGGGGTATCGGGCTCAGTATATAGGAAGAGTGTGGGAAGGGTCTTGATTAACCGGAGAGCATCCAGAGGCAGCGAGAAGGGCCCTGACATCACGCCACATGGGGATCTGTCAAGGGGGTTGGGAATGTTCATCCTGGACGAGAGGAGATTCAGGGGAACAAGGTCACTGTCTTCCTGTATTTGAAGGGCTGTCATGTTGAAGGATGATGGCACTTGTTAAAGCTGACCCGAGAGAAGCAATGAGCAGCAATTGCAAACCTAGTCTTGATGTCGAGAAAAACTTCCTAGCGATCGGAGCTGTCCAAAATGTCCCCTGTAGGTAGTGAGCTACCTGCACTGGAGCTGGAGACCAAGCCGAGGTTGGGCTGACCACTTGTCTACTATGTTATGTGTGTGTAGGGGTATAGTGTGGATTGGATGGTGGCTGAAGACCCTTCCTGCCCTAAAAGTCTGTGCTTCTCTGTATCATAGCCGGTGTTCCATTGGTGGCAAATCTAATACGCCTTCTACCTATGCTTTCATCCACGACGTTGATGAAAGTATTGATGAGAATGAGGCCAAGGAGAGATGCCTGGAGGATTCTGCTGGATGGGTCCAGTTCCAAATTCCCTGAACCCACATCTCTCTGTCTTGACCCCAAAGACATCAGGGAAGACTCTGCCCTATGCCTTGCTGCTCTCTGAGTCTCCTCTACAGCATTCTCCTGACCTGCCAGTCTTTACATCTTTGCAGAAAACCTAGTCTGGCTTGCCCCACTCTTCACCATCCCATGGGGACCAACCGCATCCCTCTCTTAGTGCTCCCATCATCTGAGCTTTGAAAATTTTGCCAGGCATTGGCTGTCAAGCTTGTCAGCCTAGAGTTGCAAGAATCCACCTCTTCGCCTTTGTGAAAATCCGGATAATCTCCAGGATCCAATCTTAGAGCATAGGATTTGGAGCTGGGAAAGTCCTCAGAGAACCCCTGGTCCAAGTCTTTCATTTTACAGATGGGAGAAGTGGAGAGGGAACCCAAATCCGCCTCCCTGTGACGTCTTCACAGTCCTTCCAGTTCTACCTTCTTGGGCACCTCTCCCACTCTGCAAGATTTTTCAAAGCCCATTCCATTGGTACAGAGGAGGAAATTGAGGCATGTGGTGGTGTACTCCTGGCTCCACACGAGGATTGATAGCAGAGTTTAGAAAGGGGAAGGGGCCCCTGTGGTCCAGGGGTCCTTCAAGGAACTTGGAAACAAAAGCATAGATTCTTCAAGCCCTGGGGATCTCAGCATTCATCTTATATTGATATTATGATATTATGATGATATTCATCATCAGTCTTGTCTGACTCTTCATGACCCCATTTGGGGTTTTCTTGGCAAAAATACTGGGGTGGTTTGCCATTTCTTTCTCCAACTCCTTTTACAGAGGAGGAAACTGAGGCAAACTGGGTGAAGACAGCTACTAAGTGTCTGAGGCTGGATATGAACTTAGGGAGAGGAATCTTCCTGACTCAGGTCCTGCGCTCTGTGCACTATGGCGCCCCCTAGCTGCCTTTCAGCACCCATCTTAGTCTGTAGCCTTTCCCTGAATAGTATTCCTGACCAGTGATCATAGCCTGATCTTGAAGACATTTAATGATGGGGAGCTCTCTTGAGCTGAGCCTTGAACGATGCAGGTAGCTATCTCTCCGAAGCCTAGCGTTCTCTCTGGGCCTTCCTTGGCCCTCCTCTCCTCTGCTACCGAAGGTCCACCTCCATCTTGTGTCCCTTTTATGCATCCTTCCCATGTACTTCTAGACTTGCCTAAAGGAGAAGGAATTCAGCCATTGTTCAAAATATCCATTGGTTTCCTGCTGCCCTGAGACCGAGCAATGGCCGATCTCCCGGCTGGGCCTGTCACGGAGAGCTGCTGCCCTACTTCTCCACCCAGATTTGCTTATGGGACCCCCTCAGAGAATCAAGTGAAACCAGGAAGACAGCTTTGTACACCTAGACGTGCTCTATGCAGCACATCCCTGAAGGCTCATTGAGGTCTTAAGCTACTAACGATTAAGGCTGCACCAAGACTTTGGGGTCACCCTATCTATATGAACTATTATTATTATTATCCTTCAAGTCTCAGTTTGGATGCTGCCTCCTCCAAGAAGCCAGCCTCGATGACTTCATCAGGAAGTGGTCTTTAGCACTTTATAACTCCTATTATAAACCCATATTCATTTTAGTGTTACATCACTTTTTGCATCCTCAAAAGGTTGGCCACCAAGTGGCCACAGCCACTTATTAAGCTATGCAGTGGGTGAGTAAAGGGTGAACTCTGCATCACCACCTGTATGATCCTCTGGACCTTTTGAAACCTGTATTCTGTGCGTGTGAGCAAGGTCTCACAGGGTACTTCAGCATGGCACGGAGCTCAGTCTCTGCCAGGCTAAAAGGGCTTCACCTGTGGCCAGGGCTGGTGTTGAGGATGGCTCAGCTCAAGGCAAGAGCCTCAGTCTCACAAATGTGGCCTCAGCCACTCATGGAAATCATCTCCTCTGGCCCAGAGAGGCTGGGATTTGTGTTGGACTTGACTGCGCTGTCCTGTCATCAGTTCTTCTTGTACTGACTTTGGGACTCTCCTGCCCTCAGTTAAGGGCCTTCATGAGTTGTTGTATCTGACAAATCCTTCTCCACGCATCTGAGCTCATGAGGAGCCCTCTGCCCTTAGCTAGGCTGGGCCCTGGTCCATTGCTGATCCTGTGCCTGCCCACAGAGCATCTGAGAGCCCAGCATGACCCACAGGCCTTGGTGAGGGAGCTGGGCAGGGCTTTCATGGATAGTATCCACTCTCAGGAGACACCGAGGCCTCAATCAGTACAGTGCCATTTTTCTGTGTCTATACTTAAAGACTTTGAATCTACTGTCTGGCGACCCCCAGACCAGCTAAATGCTTAGAAGCTCAAGTGAGAAGCTCTCCTAGTGAGGGACTGTCAGTCAGGCAACAAGCATTTATTAAGTGCCTACTATGCACCAGGCAGTGTGCCAGGTACTAGAGATACAAAGAACCAGCAGAAGAAAAAAGGAGGCAAATTAGCCTACGCTGACAAAATTACTTCCAGTGCCTACCCAATCCTCACTATTAGACTGCAAGCTCCTTGAGGGCAAGTCTAGGGTCCAAACTATCTTCTGTTTTAGTTTTTTCCCCCATCTTCCCTGGGTCTTTGAACTGGCATAGTTGAGTCTAAATAAGTATTTGTTATGTGGAAGAATGAAATATGCTGACAGGCATGTCAGTGAGTGAGTGAGTCTGTGAGAAGGTCATTTTAGGCAGGAGGAAGTTCAGGGAAGTAAGGCTAGGAATAAGGAAGCACAGCAGGCTGGTGCAGGGGCCAAGGGACTGCCCCCAGAATGGCTCCTGGCAGGGGAAATTCAATCCTGCACCAGGTGCAACCTAGGACAGCCCCAGCCCCCTGCCCTGGCCCCGTGGGTCAATTCTGCTGTTCTTATGTCCACCCCCTCTTCCATCCTTCACACCATACCACTCCCTTTGGGATGCCCCAGATCTGCCTGAGGTCTGTTCCCCTCCCCTGGCCTGCCCTAACCCTGAACCTCTCCCCCCAACCCTGCCTGCAGGAGACGTGTGCCCGAATCCTCCTGTATAGGGGGGCCAACAAGGAGGTGAAGAACAACAATGGACAGACCCCTTTCCAGGTAAGGAGACCCTGGAGAGGTTGGGGGGAGGGGAGGAAGTAGAGGTGAGGACTGGAAGGAAGGAAGGAAGGAAGGAAGAGTGGATAAGGAAAACAGAAGGTATGCAAGTAACAGGAGAGAAGGGAAATTGGAAGAAATAGGAGAGGTTATGGGAGACATGGAAGAGGATGGCAGGGATGGAAGAGAGGATAGAAAAACAAAGGGTGAAAGATGTGAAAGGAGAGGAGAGAGGGATGCTGGTGAGGACAGGGGACATGGAAGAGGAAAGATAAAAAGGGGTGATAGGAGAAAGTGAGGAGAAAGGATGATAGGGAGATGGTCAGTAAGTCAACAAGCATTTATTAAGTGCCTACTATATACCAGTCACTAAGCTGGCGCTGAGAAGACAGAAAGGCAAAATATAGATTCTCTGTCTAGGAGTTCATAGTCTAATGGCAGAAACAACATGTAAACAACTCTGTACAAACAAGACACGTGTGAGATAAATTGGAGATGATCCACAGAGAGAAGACATTAGCATGACGGGGCATTGAGAAAGACTTCTCCCAGGTGGGCTTTTAGTTGAGATTTGAAGGAAGTTAGGAGGCAGAGATGAGGACGGGGACAGTACTAGGCATGGGGGACAGCCAGAGGAAATGCCTGGAGCCAGAAGATGGAGCAGCAAGGCCAGTGCCACAGGATTGAAGATGGCAGGGGTGACAGGAGAAAGCAGAGATGAAAAGTAGGACAGGGGAGGAAAGGGAAGACAGGAGGCAGGAAAGGAGAACTAGAAGAGGAAGGGAGAGGACATGGAGAGAGTTTGACGAGAAGAGAAGTGGAAAGAGAAGGGATGGAAGGAACAGAGAAGGAGGGAGGGCAAGGATAGAATAGGGAGGGGAAAGAGGAGAGAGTGTGAAGGGCAGTGGTGGAGAGAGGGGACTGAAGAATTGAGAGAGCAGAGAGAGAAGAGGGAAAGGAGAGAAGGGGAAGTGAGGAAGAAGAGGTAGAGGCAGTGCAGAAGAGAAGGCACAGGAGAAGATCCAGGTGATGGCTTGGAAGGGCGGCAGAGGATAAAACAGGGAATTAGAAAAGAGGGATAATAGGAGAGAGGGGTGAGGGCAGGAGGGGCATTTAGGGCAAGGAATGATCAGAAGATGGGTGTGATATGGAAGGGCTTGGGGAAAGGGGGAATAGGGCTATAGGGAGAGTGGGGAGAGTGGTATTAGGGGAACATAGCTAATTAGCAAACGGGGGGAGTAGGCTAGAGCTAGGCTTGCTATTGTGACTGTTCTTACCTGGCCCCTGGGGTCACCTCCTCTCTTCTCTGCCCCCACATGGGCCAGGTGGCTGTAATAGCTGGCAACTTTGAGCTGGGGGAGTTGATCCGAAACCACCGAGACCAGGATGTGGGTGAGTGAGGTGGGAGCTGGAGGTTAGGGGACGGTGGGTGACATGGGAGATGAGAGAGAGGAGTGTGTGTGGAACTTGGGGGCACCTGATGTTAAGGGTGGGCTGAGCAAGGGATACAGGGCTGTGTGAGTCCGGGGAGTGTATGGGGCTGTGCTTGCCCCTACCCAAGCTCATCTTCCCCTTTTCCCCTCTCCCCCCACATGTCTGCCTCCATCCCTCCCACATCTCTGCCTCCATCCTCCCTTATCTCTTTCCATATCTCCGTCTCTTTCCACTCTCACCATCCCTCTCTTCCTTTCCCCACTTTCCTTCCGATTCTCCTTTCATCTCTTCCCTCCCTTATCTCTTCACAACTCTATCTTCCCTTCCCTTATCCCTACATATCTTCTTTCTAATTTCTTTCCAACTCTCTCTCTTCCCTTATCTTCTCAAATCCTTCATTCCCTCCCTCATCTATTTCCTCCACTTCTCCATCTTTAATTTGTTCTCCTTCCCCTCATCTCTTGTCTCTTTCCCCATCTCTCTCCACTTCCCTCATCCATCTCTCCCTTCATCTCTTTCTCAACCTCAACTTCCTATCTCCACTCACATCTCTCTGTTTTCCCCTCACTACTCTTCTGTACCCACCTCCCTCCCTTCTCTCTGCTTTCACCCTCATCCTTTTCACCTACCCATGTCCCCCTTTCTTATCTCCCTTTTTATCTCCTTTTCCCTCTATCTTCATGCCTACATTTCTCCTCTCATCCCTTTCTCTTATCTTCCCAACTTGAATTCTCTTTCTATTGCTTCTTTCTCATACATCTTCCCATCTTCTCCTCTCTTCTCATCTTTCCCTCCATCTCCTCTCCACAATCTCCCTTTTCTTCATCTCCCCCTTTCCCAATTTGATCTCTCCTCCTTCCCCATTCCTCCTATCTCATCTCTCTCCTATCTCTTACCCTTTTCCTCCCCCCTCTCTCATCTGTCCTTTTCTCTTCTCTCTCCTTACCTCAACCCTCTTCACCAACCCCCATCTTTCCCCAAATCTCTTTCCCTCATCTCCACTCTAACCCACCCTACTAGTCCCCTTCCAGGAGTCCCCCAAGTATGCAGCCCGTCGGAGGGGGGGTCCACCAGGCACAGGGCTGACTGTGCCCCCGATGCTACTCCGTGCTAACAGCGACACCAGCATGGCACTGCCTGATTGGATGGTGTTTTCACCCTCTGGGCCCCCTGGCCCTGGTCCTGCCCCAGCGGCCCCAGCTCCAACAACCCCCTCAACCCCAGGGGCCAAACTCAGCAGCGGCACTCTGCGTAGTGCCAGCAGCCCTCGGGGTGCCCGCGCCCGCTCCCCTTCCCGAGGGAGGCACCCAGAGGAGGCAAGGAGGCAACCCCGGGGACGGCCCAGGTAGGGGGAACTACTGATACCCCCGAATCCTTCTTTTCTATTCCCAAGACCTCTTTCCTCATGAATGGCCAAGGAAGATCCTAATCTCTCCTCTCCTGGCCTTCTGTTCCTCAGATGGCCAGGAATACTGCATTGCTCTCCCCACATCCCAACTCCTTTTCACCATGAACATTCAGGGAAATCTCCATCCCCCTCATCCTCTTCTCCCACTCCCAACATCCCCTTTCTCTATAAAAATTCCTAGTCTTCATCCCTCCTCCTACTCTCAATACCCTTCTGCCCTGTTCCCCTGCTCTCAATACTCCTCTTTCCTATAGACAGCTAGGAAAGCCCTCGACTTCCCTGTAAATCTCTCTTCCTCCCTACTTCCTCATGAATACCCTAACCTCTGTATCCCTCTTTTCCCATGCCTGTCCCCAGTACCCCCATCCTTCCTCTCCATGGGTGGCCAGATAAGCCTCTAACTCTCCCATTGGTCCTACCTCCCAACCCATGGATGACCTAGGAATCCCTAGCTCTCCACGAATGGTTTATTCTCCATAGATTCCCCCAATTTCTTCTTCCTCATGGACTTCCAAATGTCCCTTATCCCTCCTTTTCCAATCCAATCCCTTCATTTTTCATGGATGATCAAGGAAACCCCCAACTCTCCCATTCCGGTTCCAAGGTCTATACCTTCCTTCCCTAGAGAAGCTCATATCCCTAATCTTCCCGATCTACTCCCTAAATCACTCCTGTTCCATTCCCTAATTTTCACCCTCCCTGTCCAAAAAATCACAGGCATATCAAATTCCCCAGATTCCCAAATTGCTTTTCTAGGACCCCTTCAATGCATCCATTTATTTTATAAGTATTCATTAAAATATCTACTATGTGCAGAACCTTATGCCCAGCACTAGGAAAGGTACAAAGATAAAATATAGTTCCTGCTCTCAAGGCACTTCCAGGCAAGTAAGGGTGATGTGAAACATGTAAGGATCAATGTTAACCTGGAGAGAGGTCTCTAGTAGAGTGCCATAGGGCTCCTTTCTTGGGCCCCATCACCATTTAGATAGCATGCTTATCAAATGTAAAGCTATCCAAGAGTTGGGAAGGAGAGCTAAGAGGTTAAACAAGTTAGAATCCAAGAAGATCTTGTCAGGCTAGAACCATAGGCTAATGGGTTGATGACTTCAAGATGGAATTTAATAGGAATGAATGTAAAGCCATCCTCATGGGACTCAAAAAGCCAACGACACAAGTACATGATGGGGGAGGTGTGACAAGACTATGTCTCAGAAGAAGAAATGCTTGAGGGTCTCAGTGGGCCACAAGTTCTGTATGAGCCCCAAAAGCAAATTTGGCTTTAAGATGTAGGATCAGAAATAGTGTTCCAGATCAGGGGTGTGTGATGATGTGAAGCTCCCTGCCCTCAGCAGGCAATGGCAGAACACAGGGGACTATGTTCACTTCTGGGGGGCCACATTTTAGGAAGGCCCCTGACAACCTGGAGCTTGTCTAGAGGAGGGTGGCTTTGGTAGGTGTGTGGGAAAGAAGGAACTTAGAAGTGTGCCAGACTAGGATTAGCTCAAGGAAGGGGGGTGGGGGTGTAGTCAGAAGTAGGAAAGACCTCAGGATGCAGGCAAAGGGGGCTCCACTATCTGAAGGGCTGTCAGCAGGAAGAGAATGAGCCTTGCTTTGCTTCATCACAGGATAGAACTGGAAGTAAGATCATCTAGTTTCAGGGAGGGAGATTTAATGTAAAAAAAAAACCCATCCTAGTGACAGAATTGGCCAACAGTGGGAAGTTCTCCATGCTTGGAGATCTGAATGCCTGCCAACTTGTCAAAGGTGCTTTAACTGAAATGGCCATGATTTGGACAGGAGCAGGCTGGTATGTCCAACCCCTTCAGCTCTGAAGCTCTGAAGTTCTAAATAGGGAGGGTCAGGCTATTCAGTACCAAGCAAAGGAATCCAGACTTGTTTCTGGGGGCCATTGGGAGCCATGGATGTTTTCTGAGCAGTGTAGGGACTTGGCCAGAAGTGTAAGGAAATGACACTGATATTCTGTGAAAAACAGATTTAAAAGGGAGAGGTTGGTGAATGAAGAGACTTCTACAGTAAGACTGCCTTGGGTTGGAGGTAGCTATGGAGAGAGACAGGAAGCCCCCGGTCATCCCTCCCTGACTTTCTGGCTCCCTTTCCACTTAAGTTCCTACCAAAGGTCCTTCCACTCAATATGTACCAAGCCCCATCCCCTTCTCCCCTCTCTCCCCCTGCCCCACCCCATGGTGCTCCTCTGGACATCCCCTTTCCCTCAACACTCCTTATATATATCCCAGCTCCAGTGGGACACCCAGAGAGGGGCCATCTGGGGGCACAGGGGGATCCGGGGGCCCTGGGGGCTCCTTGGGAAGCCGGGGACGGCGACGGAAGCTCTACACAGCAGTACCAGGACGCTCCTTCATGGCCGTGAAGCCATACCAGGCCCAGGGCGAGGGGGAGATCTCCTTGAGCAAGGGAGAGAAGATCAAAGGTACCTAGGGTTGGGGCGGTGGGATAGGCTTGATCAGCATGTGTGGGGGTGGAATCAATTCACTAGTGTTTCTTGAGTGCCTACTATGTATAAGGCCCTGGAGGATACAAATGAATGACATGCCCCTACTCTCAAAGAGCTTATAATCTAGTTGGGGAGACAGGACATATATGTAAAAATATAAAAATAAAATGCAATAATATGTCAAAGATTTCTGATTTCATCAGCACCAGGACACTCCCCCTCCACCAAAGCAGATGGAAACTGGCCTGTAATGTAGAGAGTTTTGCCCAAGGGGCAAATAGAGGAGAAGCAATTTGGCTAAAGTCAGGTAGCTTTGATGTATGGGGGGGGAAGAGGGGGTGCCTGACTGAACTAGCCCAATGGTACCTGGGCCATGTAGTCTGAAGAGAACAGAAGGATCTCTGACCTATTACTGCCACGCTAAGGCAGCTGGTGTTCAATGACCAAAGCCAGGCAAGTTCTGGCAGAGCCGAGCTAGCTCAAGAGGCTGTGAAAACCAAGTTCGGGGATGAATTGGATGTCTGTCATCCAAAGGCCAGACAAGTTGTCCAGAGAGATTTGTTACCAAGTTGGCCAAAGGGGGATGCATTTTTTATCCACTATGAAAGACCATTGAGGAGTCACCAACCAGACATGTATCAGCAGAGTGAGCCCCCACATGAATGAATCATCAGCCAGTCAGTACAGAAGCATTGATGAAGTGCTCCAGTGTCTACTAGATTAGGCTGGAGATATACAGACCAAAGTGAGGCAGTGCCTGCCCTCAAGAAGCTAACATTCTACACAGGGACTTCAGCATGCTTGCTGATGAGGAGAGGTGTACGGGATACATGCAAAGTGAATACATAGGTTGGAACAAATAACAAAAACAACTCATATTAATAGCAAACTTTTCCTGTAATCAACTGTGGGAGGAAGAGAGTACAACAATTCTTCCCCCGTTTTACAGATGAGGAGAAAACGGAGAAGGGCCATAATTGTTGGTGCTTCGCTACTCCAAACCCAGCCCTCTTTCTACTCCTTCATTCTGCTGTAATCCAGTCCAATTCAATTCAGCAAACGCTGATCAAGCACTGGAATAGGCAGAGAGTTTAGAAGAGATGTAGCCTGCTCTCTACCCTTCAGGGCTTGGCCCCAGTGTGATGGGGGACATGATTGTGTATGCAGACAAGAATGATGCAAACTAATGCAAAAAAGTGTGCCAGAGAAGTGTCAACAAGTGGCACATTGGAGGAGGGGAGAGATGGAGATTCAGCAGGTCTCCCAAGGGAAGGGAGAGAGAACCTTTGGAGTTTAGGGCAAAGGGTAAGCCAAGTCCTGGAAGAAGAGAAGTGCTAAGTGTGTTTGAGGAATGGTAATTGACCCAGTACGGCTAGAGGGTGGAGCATATGGTAGGCATTTGGACAAGACAGGGCTGGGAAGGTAGGCTTATGGAGAGCCCTCAATGCTAGGCTAGAGAATTTGAACTTTTCTTTTTGGGCAATCGGGATCCCTGGAAGGGATTTGGGTATTAGTCTGAGGAGAGGCATTCCTCAAAGTAAATTCTTTCTGGTAAGAACTAGGGGCATACTGCATTGGGCACTAAAAGGCAAAACTAGGAAAGTAGGAACCGATGGCTCCTTCTTGGGGCAAACCTTCAGGAGGACAGATCCAGGGACAAAATATCTGCCTATCCATCATCTGAGGAGCAGCCCAGAGAGTCCCATTACCAGCAGACTGGCCACAGCAAGTCAAGAGATCATCTGCTGAGGTATGGAAGGCTTGGGATCTTTTGTCAGTGGAAAAAAAGACCCACATTGATCACTTCGACAATGCCGGAAGAGTTGGAGATTATAATTCAATAAGGAAAGAAATGCCTCCTGCATTTTGGGAGGATCCCTCACAGAAGATGCGTGGGAAGGAAGGTAGAGGAACTGCACAGAATGAGATGGAGTAGAAGTGCCTTGGCTGAAGGAGGACACTTACCCTTTGCCTCAATTTCAAATCCTTGAGATATTGAGTATGATAATTAGAGGGACTCTTCCTTCCCACTAAGCCCAGCCTCTGTGGAAGCTGATGCAATGGTATGGATAAGAATCCAACAGAGCAAGAAGGTGTGCACTGGTGGTGAGTTCTGTTGGTGGAAGTAGGACCCACATAGATTCTATTACAGCTCTTTTCATCATTGAAGAATTAGACATTGAAAATAACACCAATTATAGACTGTACTACCGCTGTACATGAGTCAGATTTGAGGGGGAAATGGTGGCCAATAGTCAAACTAATTGTTCAGTCATTTTTCTGTGTTTTCCATGTCTGACTCTCCATGAACCCATCTGGGGCTTTCTTGGCAGAGATACTGGAGTGCTTTGCCATTTCCTTCTCCAGCTCATTTTACAGATGAGGAACTGAGGTGTATAGGGAGAAGTGACTTGCCCAGAGTCACAAAGCTAGTGTCTGAGGCCAGATTTGAACTCAGGAAAATGAGTCTTCCTCACTCTAGGCCATGCTCTGTTCACTGCATCACCTAGCTGCCCTGTGAAATCAGTAGAGAGACTCATGGAAGACATTATTTGAGAAGTGTGCAGTGAGTGTTATGAGTTCAAAGGGAGAGGTCATTGTAGGCTGGGGTGGTCAAGGAAGACTTCACCAAGAGGGTATAACTTGTTTGGAACCTTGAGAGATAGAGGGAGGGGAAGGCAGCTGTGAATGTGGAATGCACCAAGGAGCCAGGTTTCAAATCCCAGCTCCACTGCTTTCCATGTAACCATGAGCAAATTACTTAAACTGCTCTGTGCCTGCTTCTTCATCTGTAAAATAGGAATGATAATACTATACAATGATATCCTAGGGTCCTTGTGAGGAGCAAATGAAATCATGGACAGAACGTGCTTCTGTAACTGGAGACTTTCAGATAAATGTCAGCTGTTTATTATCCTCTTCCTCTTCCTCTTTCTCCTCCTCGGAGAGGGTGGCAGACAGGCAAGGGGCACAGTGGAGAGAGGGCCAAGGGCTGGGCTGGGAGCCAAAATAAACTGGCCTTGGAGTTCAGAGCTGGCAATGCCACTTTCTTAAAATGGTTATTGATGGATGGAAAGAATGAGATGAGGACTGTGACTTCATTGGTACATGAAGCTCCCTCTTCCATTGCAGATTGGAACCTTTTCTGCATCTTAGAATTTTGTTTCATATTTTCAATATTTTCTTGCTATCTTGTTTCTCTGCCACCTGCTATTACAATGTCCCCCTTCCCTAGCTTTCATCTTCCCCAGAAAGCCACTGCGGGCAACAAAGAATAAAAAAGTTCAATCCACCAAATGCTACTTCTTAGCAAGCCGATTAACTTCTCTGGGCCTCTTTCCTCATGTACAAAATTAGGACACCTGCAGGCCTTAAAGGACCCTGAACTTGGACCCATGAGACCTGGATTCAAATCCTGCCTTTGGCATTTTCACTAGCTGTGTGACACCAGGCAAGTCACCTTAGCCCTCTGAGCCTCAGTCTCTTAATTTGTAAAATGAGGAAAATTACATTTGCATAACATAGGTCACAGTTGTCATGAGAAAAGTGAGCTTTGCAGTGCTATAGAAATTGTATAAGTGTACACTGTTACTACTCCTGAAGGCATTCTGTGTGGAATAAACTGAGGGTGGAATTAGAGGCAGAAGGCTGGCTGAAACAAGCAATCAGTGGGGCAAACATAAGAGATGAGCAGGGAATGGAAAAGCAGATTTGGAGGAAGAAGAAGCAGAAGGTTCATGTCCTGGTTCTGGTACCTGTGACCTTGGGCAGGTCCCTGAATATTCACTCAGCCTCAGATTCAGCGAATGTAAGAGGAGATGGCTGAACCTCTCTGAAGTCCCTGCTCACTCTCTGGTCTTGGAGTGTGGGGTGCATAGATAACAGGGAAGCCATGTGGGCAGAGCAGGGGAAGGTAAGGCTGGAAAGGCAGATGAGGACCAGGCTGCTACTACATGAGATGGTGCCGTTGGCCTTTGCTAAGAATTTGAAATGTCGGCTGAAATGTTGGATGGGGAGAAATAGCCAATTCTGCCCTTAAATCCCAAAAGATAGCAGTCTAAATGCACAAGTTGGTGATCTCCAAGTGAGTCCAGTGTGATAACGGACCGAGGTATACAGCCTACTGTGACGTTAGACAACATGAAGTGCCACAGTGTCTAGAATGGGGGCAGGGGTGAATGAGGAGCCTCTATTGGTACCCCCCATCCTTTTCCCCAGTCAGCCTGTCTAAAGGTCTGGGTTTAATTCTGGGGGCCACCTTTGAGGAAGGATGTTGATAAGTGAGAGTTCATCCAGAGAAGTGGGACCAGAGGCAGGAAGGAGATTTACACCTATGCCAGCGGAAGACTCCTTGAAGTCCCCACCTTTTGGACTTCTTCTCTTCCTTCAGAGTTCAGCTTGGGTGCCACCTTGAAGCCTTCTCTCATCTCCCCTCCAAGTGAAACCACTCCAAGTTTCCTTTGAGCACTCTATGTGGATCTCAACTTTGCTTCATCATATCCACTTCCCCCCCCCACCCCCAGGAGAAGAAAGCAATTTGAGAGCAACATGGGTGTCATTTTTCACTTTTCTGTCCCCTCCATCTAGCACAGAGCTGTGCACAGAGTGGGCCTTTAATGAACATACATTGAATGACTGGCTACAGTGGAAATGTCGGCGCTTCACAAATTCTTCCTTCCTGGTTGGGTATTTTAGTACTATAAATGTCATTTGCCTCAATTTTAGCACAGTATTTGATCAAGTTTCTTGTACTTTTCTTATGGAAAAGATGGAAAGATGTAAGAAAATAAGACAAATGGGTGAATTTGGTAGAAGGAACTTGGGATGCTTAGCCTAGAAAAGAGAAACATGAAAGGGGATGAGTATTTGAAAAGTGGTCATGGAAGAAGAATGAGACTTGATTGTGTGAATTCCTGCACAGGTCCAATTTATCCAAGGCATTCCCTGAAGCCCTTCCCAACTGTCCTGGGTGGCAGCTTGACCAAATGACCTCTGAGGTCATCACATAGTAGTTATGTGATGTGATCAAAGGAATTCTTGCTCATCCATGACCTCTGAGTTACCTCCCAGTTTGGAGAACCTCTATATAGGGTGAGAAGTCAGAGGAGATAGGTTCTGAGATCCTTTTCAGCACTGAGATACTAGGATTCTGTGATGTTGGGAGAGAGGGGAGGGGGAAAGGAGGGAGAAGGTAGAAGAGAACCTTCAATATCTGGTGAAACAGTATGGAGTTTACTTCTCATTTGACATGACTTTCTGTAATTTTATGCCAATAATTTTGAGTCCATGAAAAAAAAACATTTTGTCCTCAATTCTGTTTCCCTGGACCCCTCTCTAGGGATTCATGGTGGTGAAAAATTGCACCCAGTTGTGTGTGTGGGAGGCTAATGGGAAAGGAGGAGTTGTGATTCTCTCTCCTCTTTAAAGCGCAAATTGGGGGACATAGGAGAACTCCTTGACCAAAATAAAAAAGTAACATCAGTGGTGAGAAGAGGTGTGTGTATGTGGGATGAGGAGAGCAGAGATTCAAAACCTTGCTATATAAGGATTTATTAATCAGCTGGGGATGTTTCAACTGAAAAAGAGAAGATATTAAGGTGAGGGGTAAAGCTACTATCTTCAAATATAGGAAGGGCTGGCTGTCTGGAGGAAGAGGGAGTAGGCTTGTACATCTTAGCCCCAGAAGGCAGCAGTGGAGCCATTGGGGTGGGAGGGAAGGCTTCCGTTTATATGGTAATCAGAGCTGTCCACAAGTAGAACTGGGTGCTTTGGGAGGTAGCGTTGTCCCCATCAATAGAAAACCCACAAAGGCTGATTGGCTGCTTTTCAGCGACATTCAAGATGGCGCTTCGGGGATAGTTTGGATGAAGTACCTTCTGAAGTCTCTCCCAGCCTGCACGGGGGGGGGGGTGCCTGCATAGGGTGAAGATGACTTCTGAGGTCACTTCCAATGTGGAAATGTTATCATTTTATGAGATAAAGGGATGAGAAGATAGATCTAGGGTCTTTTCTCCCCAGAGGTGATATAAGCCAAAAACAGAAAGAAAGGAAGAAGAAAGAAAGAAAGAAAGAAAGAAAGAAAGAAAGAAAGAAAGAAAGAAAGAAAGAAAGAAAGAAAGAAAGAAGGAAGGAAGGAAGGAAGGAAGGAAGGAAGGAAGGAAGGAAGGAAGGAAGGAAGGAAGGAAGAAAGAAAGAAAGAAAGAAAGAAGGAAGGAAGGAAGGAAGGAAGGAAGGAAGGAAGGAAGAAGGAAGGAAAGAAAGAAAGAAAGAAAGAAAGAAAGAAAGAAAGAAAGAAAGAAAGAAAGAAAGAAAGAAAGAAAGAAAGAAAGGAAAAGAAGGAAAAGAAAGGAAAAGAAAAGAAAGAAGGAAGGAAGGAAAGAAGGAAAGAAGAAAGAAAGAGGAAAAAAGGAAGAAAGAGGCTCAAGAAGAGATTAAAGAAATTCCATAACAACTGATTATGAATAAATTTTTGAGACAAATGAGAGCTACTTGGTGTGGGGGCAGGGTATCATTGACCTTCAGAGGAGAAGAGCATGTCCTCTCCCTTGGAGCACCATAGAAGGCCAGACACTTGGGCTGACCCACTGGGCTACTGCATAGAGTCATGCAGTGTCCGAGCTGAAGGGACTTCAGAGATCATGTCATCCACTCCTCACTTGCCCAGGAATCTTCTGCAATGCAGCCAACAAGAAGAGGGTCATGTCTAACTTTAAGCTTAAGGACTTTTGATTGGGGAAGGGGCTGTAGAGGTCTGTGCAGACAATAGGGGAAAGCTGCTGGATGGTGGGAAGGTGGTGAACAGATTCTGAATATGCTTCCCTGTCTTGCTCTCTGGCCCAGTGCTCAGCATCGGGGAAGGAGGCTTCTGGGAAGGTCAGGTCAAAGGTCGAGTTGGCTGGTTCCCCTCAGAGTGCCTAGAGGAGGTGGCTAATCGCTCCCAGGAGGGAAAGCAAGGTAACACGACCTCCATTTCCTTGATTGGGGGTGAGGGGATTGGACTGTTGATGGGAAATCTGTCAAGGGGAAATCTGTCAAGGGGAGAGAGAAGGCTGTGGGTGGAGTAAGGGAAGGAAGGAAGGAAGTGATCTTGGGATGTCACTCAGGTTCTCCCCTGACCCTTCTCCCATCCAGAAAGTCGAAGTGATAAAGCCAAAAGGCTCTTCCGACACTACACCGTGGGCTCTTACGACAGCTTTGACGCCCCCAGGTAAGGAGTTCTCCTAGTCCCCCCACTTTAGTCCACCCTAACTTTCCAATACCTTTGAACCCTATTTCCCCAACCCATTCATAGATCGTTCTATCTGAAAGGGCCACTGAGGTCATCTTGTCTTACCTCCTTACTTTGTCAAGGAGGAAGCTGAGCCTGGAGAAGGCGAGATCACATAGTTAGCAGAGTCAGAAGCAGAATGAGAGTTCAGACTCAAACATAGAGCCTCTCGCGTGGTGTCCAGCATACCATTTACACGCCATTTAGTCCCCTGCCCCCTACCCCTGCCAAGCTGCCTCTCCTTGAGTGCAGACCCTTTTCCTTCTCCCAAGGGAGTCTTCTTAGAAGGGAGTCTTGCCTATGTTGAGTAGTGCCAGAATTAGCTATGGGAAACAAATACATCTCAACCTTCTGTGGCCTCTCTGTGTCTATACAATCCAGAGTCAGAGGCTGGGGGAAACAATAAGCAGATGTCCCATCTCCCTAATGCTTATGCCCAGGCTGGTACATCAGACAAATGTCCCAGTCCTGGGGGCCTAGGCCAGGAAGAATTGGGGACAAAAGGGAAGAGGAGGCTGGTGAAAGGATGCACTGGTTCGTTTTCTCTCTCCAGCTGCTGTCTAGATCTTCTGAAACTAGTAGATGCAAGGGGTTGAACTTGTTTTGGGGAGGAAGGGGTCTGGAAGTGGAACAACTTGTGTGTGTGTGTGTGTGTGTGTGTGTGTGTGTATTCCTGCTCCCAAGGCTAGTATAAATTTATGAACCTATGTATTTCTGGGAATATATGTGAGTATGAGTATGTTTCCCTGAAAATATATTTTCAAATGGGTATGCTCACCCATTCATTCCATGACTATTTATTAAGCACCTACTGTGTGCAAAGCGATACAGGCATGATTAAGATAGAGTAAATGTGTCTTGGTGATCAATATGCTTGTGTCCCAGTGTGAGTGGCTGTGTTCCTTTAATAATTTTTGAATGTATGTTTCTATGTGTGTATGACTGTGAGTATGGGCAGGTACTTTTCTCTGAGTGTGTGTCCACATGTCCTTATGTCTTGGTGTGTGAGTGACCCTGCTTATGTGACTTTGTTGATTTGTGTGTGTTCTTTCCAAGTGTGTATGTATGTCTCGATACATGCCTGTGTATCTCCATGGGCATGTTCCTGAATCTATCTGTATATCCGTATGTGTCCCCATGAGCAGCTGTGTGTTTGCAGGGAATGGGTGTGTATGTGTATGCCCACGGGTGCTTTCTGGAAGTGTCTGTCTTACTACATGCTTAGCTTCTTGTCTAACTCTGTGTCTCTACGTGCCTTTGCATCTGGGTCTCTGGGAGGCTTTGGCTGCCTCTGCTCCCAGGACAGAAGCCCGCAGGGGGAGAAGGAGGCTCAGTTTAGTGTCTTAGATCAAACTCAAGAAGGTCCTGCATTGATGGTGTTGTTACATTAAATGTGTCCCAAACCTGTGTGTCTGTGTTCTGGCCAGTGGAAAAGGGTTTGAGGGTGGATGGAGGGAAAAAGCAAGATGTGGGAAGAGGGACTGTGTTATTCTACACCTGTATTTATGTCTGAGGCATTTGGACCTATTCACACCCCCTAGGAAGACTTCCCTCTCTGGCCCTAGTTAGGTGCCTGAGTGGTTCTCTGTGTCTCTTGGTTTTCCTTTTTCCCTCTTTCTTTGTCAGCTCCTTCCTATCTTCCCCTTTCTTTTCGTGTCCCCCTTTCTGGGCCTGTTATTGTGTCTCCCCCCATTCTTTCTCTCTAACTCTGTCCTTGTCTCCCTCCTCTCTCTTTCTCCTAGCATTCCTACTGTGCCTTGTGGGCCTATTTCTCTGTCACTCTCATGCTGCTGTGGTGGTGGCAGCTGAGAATCATCTTCGTGAGACTGTAAAACTCTTTCTGTACCTCTATCCACATTGTATGGTTCATCCTGGCTATCTCTTTCCATTTGAGTACACGTGTGTGTGTGTGTGTGTGTGTGTGTGTGTGTGTCTGTGTCTGTGTGTGAGACAGAGACAGAGAGAAAGAGAGAGAGGAGAGAGACAGACAGACAGAAAGAGACCCTGAGAGGGAGAGACCCTGTCTTGGAGCTCTCGTCCCCTCCTCCTCCAGGTCGTGGTGGGCTCTTTCACTCTGCCCTGACCATGTTGTGTCGGTAGATGGTTCCACTAGGACAATCTGCTGTGTGCCTGTCATGCTCTCTCTGGCCCTGCTTGTGCAGTGTGGTTTGTTTGGTGTTGTGTGTTCCTCTCTCCTCTCTCTCTCTCAGTCTGCACCTGCGCGGGAGGGCTCTGGAGGGAGGAGAAGTGGAGGGGGGGGGGACCCAGACCGGAAGTGCCTCCCCCCTTCTTCTCCTCCTCCCCCCCTTCTCGCCCCTCCCCCTTCTCCCGCCAAGGGGGCCCCTGCGTTCCCCTCCAGGTCTCCCCTCCCCCCCTCCTCACTCCCAGCCCCCCTACGCATCCCAGCGCAGGATGCCAAGGGGTTAAAGCCAGGCGCCTGCCCGCCTGCCTCCCGCTCTGTCAGCGGGGCTGAAACCGGCGGCGCTGTCCCTGGTGCTGAACCCGGCGCTGTCCGTGGTATTGAACCCAGCCCCCCCTCGCCCCCCAGCATGTGAGCCTCCTTCTCCCTACCCCCCTTCATCCCTGCCCCCCGGGGGGGGTCGTGCCCCCTTTCTCCCCCGGCGCGGGTCAGCATGAGGTGGGGCCTGGGGGCCCGGACACGGGGGACGCGGGGGCGGCCGGGACCGGGGCCGGGGCCAGGGCGATGGCTTTGTCTGTGGCCGGTGGCAGTAGCGGTGAAGGGGGGGGCCCCCTGCCGCAGCCGCCCCCCCTGTCCTCCAGCTGGCCGGCCCTGGGGCCCCGGCGGCGCAGCGTCTGGTATATCTACAGGTAATGGAGCCCCCAAACACCCCCTTTTCCCCTCCTCCCATTGGATGGATTCCTTTCGCAGGATCTCTTTTTCCAGTCCCCCTGGGCCACAAACCCCCTTTCCTCCCCTCGCCCAGGACCCCCTCTTCATTGCCTCTCCCCACCCAACACTTTCACTAGATTCTGCCGTTACCCCACAGCCCCCTCTAATTTCCCACCTCTCCAACCCATCTTCTCCCCCCACCCCCGTGGTTGCTCCAGAACCCCTCCCCCAACTTCAGGCACACTATCTCTAGTCCTTTCACGCTGGGCCCCTACCTTTACTCTCCATCTCTCCAATCCTATGTCCTTCCTCTACTCTCCAGGCCCCTGAGAACCATCTCCCTAGTGCCTACATATCCCTTTCCCCTCCCCCATCCCTCTCCTTAGCTTCCCCCATAAAAAGGCCCCATTCTATTTACACCCTCTTGGGTTTCTCTTTACCTCCCACTCTCCAACCCCTAGCCCTCACTTCCTTTATCTCTCTAGCCCCAATGGGACCCATTTCAGATCCTCTCCTCTTTACCTCTCTCTTCCCAGCCCTTCTCCTTATCTTTCCATTTCTCTAACCCTTGTCCCTTTCCCCTATCTCTACAGTTCCCTGCCAGGACCTCTCTCCCCAACTCACTACTGAGCCCTTTCCCTGCTTCCCCCAAACTCTTCAGACTCTCCCCCCAGTGCCCAGTGCCTTCTTAACCCAAGCATCACCTTTCTTCCAGACCCTTTCCCATAGTCTTCTCTCTCTATCTCTGTACCCCAGATACCCTATGCAGTATCCCCACAAATCTACTCTACAGTCCCAAACTCCCCTGTCTGCTATCCTCTGACACCCCTCTACATCACTCAGCTCCCCAACTCTATCTTCCCACTTCCAAATGAACCTTCATACACACACTCCTCCAATCTTCCATCCCTCTGTTTCCCCCATCTTCCCATTCACCCTTCCCAGAGCCAGCAAACCCCTCCACCTCATTCATCCCCCTCTCTCCATTCACAGTCATTCACCACCCCCTATCATACACACACCCCGCCCCCTCTTTCCCTCCCCTCCCCTTTCCCTCACTGCATGTCACTATGTGACTGTGTCAGAAGGGGGGGGGCCAGAGAGACAGAGAGCAGAGAGAGGTGCATGTGTATGTGTAAAATGGTGGATTTTTGTCTGACCCCAAGAGTCCTATGTATCTGGGTCTCTGCCCATATATTCCTGTGTGATGGCATATGTCTCAGAGCAATATCCTGCATGTCTAGGGAGACCATGTGTGTTACAGTGTGTGGGCAGAGGGGAGTGTCCAGAGATGAGATATGCTTCTGTGTGCTTGGTCCCAAGCATTGGGGTCTCTACTCTATGGCAATTTGCTCATGTCTTTGTCATGATTGTCTTCTGTCTCTACGTGCCTCCTCAAGAACTTATGTCCCTCTTCTTGTCCCCCATGTGTGTGTATTTTCCAGGTCTGAATGTCTGTCTGTCTGTCTATCTATCTGTACACAGAAATGTTTATACATGCTAGGGTCTCTGGTCTCTGGGTGCCAGTACAAGTGTAGATACAAGGGTCTGTTGGAGTATCATTGTATTTGTTCATATGTTTTTGTAAATCTGCATGTGTCTGTCTGTCTGTCTGTCCACGTGCAGGACCTTCTCTCCCTCCCACCCTCTCCTCATCCATATCCTCGTCCATGTTCACACAGTTTGCAATGTTTCTGTGGGGAGATGATGTCCCTGCTTTTTGGGACATCACTCAGAGAAGCTAGCACACATGCGAAGAGGTGGGGAAGCACACAGGCCCCTGCATACTGGTGTGGGAGGGATTCTGAATGAGTGTGAGTGTGGGGGGGGCCTGGGGGTGGAGGGGCAGGAGAGGAAGGAGGTGCTGCATTCTCTGTGTGGGAGATGTGTGGGCCAGGCTCTAATGCTGAGTGATCCTGCAGGGGTCTTTGGAAGCATACCTGAGTGAAAGTATGCCAGATGTACCCACATGAATGGGGTGCTGGGAAGGGCAGATGGGGGATGCAGACAGAATATACTGAAGAAGGATAAATAAGAAAGTATCTAGGCAGGGGTATATAGAGACGTGAGGGATGCAGCACAAGGAAGGAGATGAGGACAGTAGTTTTAATAATAGCAAGGGTAAAGGCATTATGGGGTGTTTAAGGGGAATTTGGAGAATACAGGAGATAAGAGAGAAATATGGGAAATGAAAGGACATAGAGGAGATTGGACATGGAGGGTGGGAAGAGACTATGGGGAATGAGGAGATGAGAAATAAGAAGGGGATATAGGTAAGGAGTAGATACAGGGGGTGAGGACAATGCGGGGATCTAGGGAATATGAGGAGGATATGTGAGGATGAGGTGAGCTCCAGACCTTGTGAGGAGGATGGGGAGAAGAGATTATGTGGAGGAGAACACAGTTGTGGTAAGGGAGCAGAGTAAGGAGCTACAAGGAGTATGGAGGGATTTTTTTTTACTGTGTCTATGATTTCATTGGTATACAGAATTCCCCATAAGAAAACTATCCCGAGTGGGGAGATTCTAAGGGAAGGATAAGAGGAATATGGGGGTATGGATGTGGATATAAATGAAAGCAGATATAGGGATATGAGGATGAGAGGGAGGGACTGAGGTTATGAGATTACAAAAGGGATACCGAGGTATAAGAGGGTATAAGGATTGGGGAATATACTATGGGAAGGTGAAGGTGTGATGTAGTAAGTGTAAGAAAGATGTGGGGAATGATGGAGGGATAGGAGGGAGACATGTGGCTGTTACTGGAGACTGTGAGAACTATAGGGAGATGGTGTGGGATGATCCAGAAACTTGGAAGGGGATCCTGAGTGTGTCAGGGACCAAGAGGTTGAGGAAAGATATGGAAGTTCTTGAAGGAAATATGAAATCCCAGGGTCATAGATTTAGAGCTGGGAAAGATGTCTGATCCAACTTCCTTATTTTACAGATGAGGGGCTAAAGCCCAGAGAGGTTAAATACTTTGCCCAAGGTCACATAGGTGAGAAGTAACAGAGCTGGAATTCAAACCCAGTTGCCCTGACTCCAAATCCAGAACATTTTCCACTGTGGCACATTGCCTTACTAGGGGGTATTGGCAGCAATGGTGTGGAAGGGGCACTAGGGATTGTAGGGGCTAGACCCACGGCAGGTGCCCTTGCTACCCTCTCACCTCCTCTGCCTCCATCCTCCCAAAGACCTCCTTCCTTCTTTCTTGGACTTTTTTTCCCGTGCGATCCTTGAATGCATGCTTGCCTCTCTTTCTCACACTTCTTTTTCAAACCTGTAAGGAGCGTCAAGGCTCCCTCCTACCGAACTACAGAAGTGTGCTTGATCTCTGGTATCTGCTATGAAGGTGGAGGGCTGGACGCTAATGGATCATTCCAGGGTACACATTGTGTACATATGCTGATGTCCCATGTGAGGGGGTGTGCACATAACTGTGTGTGCTTGTGTTATACTGGACTATGCTATAAAGCCTACTGGGATCAGTGTGTGTGTGTGTGTGTGTGTGTGTGCGCAGGAGAGGAGCATATGGTGTAGGGAGGTCTGTGAGAAGGCACCATCATGTGTGTGCGTTTGTTGATATGAAGCAGTATGTTTTAAGTGAGAGCAGCACAGGGGTCACAAGGTGTGCACATGTAACAGTGGAGTCTGTCATATTGTGGGAAGTATACTGAGGCAAGAGTGCAGAGGTTATATTGGAATGTGCCTCTTGATGGGTAGAATTTGCTGGTCAGAGTAGGTAGCTGGGTTATCCTGAAGTGGACTGTGTGCTGGGGTGAGAGCATGTATGTGCTGTAGGTGGGCAGGATATAACGTATTGTAGGTAGTATGTTAGACTGGGGTATGCTGGGTAGAAAGATGGAATGTTGGAGGCTGAGTCTGTGCCGCATTGGAGAAGCACCCTGGGAAGGTGTGTACCACGTATGGCCACACGGTCTACAAAGCCACTGAGTTGGGCTGAAGGCTTGTGTCCAGGGGTGCATGCTACCACAGATTTTTTGGGAGTGAGGCAATTGGGGTTAAGTGACTCACCCAGGGTCACACAACTAGTAATTGTCAAGTGTTTGAGGCTGGATCTGAACTCAGGTCCTCCTGACTCCAAGGCCGGAGCTCTATCCACTGCACCACCTAGCTGTCTCCCTCTACCATAGATTCTTAGAGACCAGGCGTACCTGACCAACAGCTCCCTCTGGAACAGAGTGGATGAGTGGTCATCCAGCATCCCTGTGAAATGAGGAAGAAGCCATTGAGACAGCCTGCTGAGACAGCCCAGCCCACGTATGGATGCCTCAGATTGTCGTAAAGTGATTCTTTCCATCAAGCCCATGACTCTGCAACCTCTACCCAATTTTCCTTATTCTGTCTGCCCTCTGGGGCTAGCAAATCAAGCAGAATCTCTTCAAAGTCTTGAAAACAGTTATGTCTGCACTGAGTTCTCTCTTCTCCAGCCTAAACATCATCGGATGCCAGGCTATAGCCTCAAAGTTCCTGGCGAGCCTAGCTGCCCTCCTTTCTAAACTTGGTGCCAATGACTAAGCCCAGCACCCGGGTGTGGTCAGATGACAGCAGGGCAGAGCAGACCCCCCCCACCCAGGGAGCCTGCCTCTTCCCGAATCTCCACATTTGGTGTCTCCTAATGCAGCCACGGTGTGAGCTTTGGGGGTTACCAGATCACAATGGTTGCCAGACTTGAGCATACTATATTTGTGGGAGCTGCAACCTGGGGCATGAGTGTATATTATTGTAGAGTCTACCGTGGAAGGCAGGGTATAAATATATATATATATATATATATGTGTGTGTGTGTGTGTGTGTGTGTGTGTGTGTGTGTGTGTGTGTGTGTGTACTACTAGAAGATAAGGAAATACGTGGGAAATATTATTGGAGTATTGGGGTATTTATAAGGAGAGTGTTATGGGAGTATACTATGGTATATAATGGTATTTCCTGCAATTATGGGGGAAATTAAGTGTATTGGTGTGTTATGGAAGGTATTAGTATATGACAGTTTGTTTGGGCACCACAGGGATTTTTGTGTCTATGTATATCTACATATCCTGGGATATAGAGGTAATCCTGAAGGATCTTGGAGTTTGTGCCTAGAGGGATTGTACTAAAATATAAAGAATACATAATTGTGTCACACATGCTTGAATGGGCCGTTTGGATACCCTTCATTGGTGCTTTGAGTGTTCCTGGTCTATTCTAGGCACATTTGGGCATTGCTGGAATGTAGCCAGCACAATAGAAGTTTATTGAATTATATTGGGGTTCTGATTGTGTATTACTAGGATTTCCTCCAGGAATGCTTGGGTAATATGTGGGCTATGTGATCTGCTATTAATCAAATTAATTTTGTGTATATTTGGTCTGGGATTGGATTTTGCTAGAGAATACGGGTGTGTAATTGCATTTGATTGGAGTATTCTGGGGCATATTAATTGAATATTAGAATTTGTTTCCTTTGGGTTTTTGTATCCAGGCACAGTGCATAGGGTGGTGATCTTGGAGCCAGGAAGATCTGGGTTCAGGTCTACCTCTAGTGTGATTCCACACAAGTGTCTTAGATGCTCTCAGTCCACGAGGCAAGTCTCTAGGACTGGGCATCACAGGGGAGTGCTTTCTCCCTTGGTGAAAGGAGTTCACACAATGAAGAAACAACAGGTTTACCACCAACCCAGTTCCTTGTGCCTAGCACAGTACCTGGCATACAGGAAGTGGTTAATACATTTTTTATTGCTCCCCATGCCTGGAATGCTCTTCCTTCTTCCCTCTGCCTCTTAGAATCCTGAGCTCCCTTGAAGATGGGGCTCAAGCGCCACAGGCCTCCTGAGCCCCTGTCTGATCCTTTCAAGGGTCAGTGCTTTTTACACCCTACCCCTGAAATGGCTTTGGATTTACTTAGAATAGATTTGGTATTGACTTCTCTGTTGTGCGTTTTTTTGCCCCCATAGAATGTAAGCTGCTTGAGGACAGGGACTGTGGTTTTATCCTTGTTACCCGGGTGCCTAGCATAGTGCCCAGCACATAGTTGGTTCTCAATGAATGCTTTGTGTTAAATTGAGTTGAGAATGCTGGTATCATGGCATACGCTGCACGTGTGATGGGAATTTCTAGACTATCCTTGGGATGTGATGGCATTTGCTAGCTTATACTTAGGAGCTTTGGGGGTATTAAAGTATATTATTGGAGCATACTATAGTATACATGGCTCTTTGCATATTATTGAAATATACTAGGTCGCACTGCATGATGGGCATGTGCTTGGCTATTTCTGAAGTCTGCTTGTGGCGTTTCTGTATGTTGGCCTGTACTGAGATCTATAGCTATTTGCTGGAATGGGTTTGGTGCATGTTTGGGCATTACTGAAGCACGCTGTGTGGGTGATTGGATATGACAGGAATGGGGGATAGTTGGGAACTGAAGTCTGTTGAAGGGAGTATTTGGATATCACTGATGCATACTAGAGTATGCAATATTATTGTAGCATATATATTTGAGTGTTAATGAAGCATGTTAGAGCTATATTTTGGCATTATTTGGCATACCCTGGATTTATATTGGACTGGGTATAACTGGACCATACTTAGGGTATACCTGGAATTTGGAGCATGTGGGAATCTTGTGATTACCAGAACATTTGGGGAGGATAATATACTAGAGTGCAATGGATGTAACTTTGGTCATTACTGGAATATGTTGGGTCTGTGGCTAGGTTTTAGTAGCTTCCGTTTGGTACACTCTTGTATGGGTGGCAAGTGACTGGATTCACTAACCTAATGGCCCAAGGAAGCCTTGGATTTGGAGGATTTGGCTCTAGTATTCCTTAGCTGTGTGACCCTAGACAAATGATTTTCTTTTCCTGGACCCTGGTATCCCTCTCATGTATAAAAGGGAGATAAGGCATTCACGATCTCCCTCCCCTTCGGAAACCAACTCTATATAGTCCAATAATGGATCATAGAGGCAAGTGCTTTAGAAAGAAACTCCATAGAAAGCACCTCATGAATTACCTTGTTGGTAACATCATTGCCCAGGTATGTCTGTGTATGTTATAGAAGGTGCTTGGATGGCTTTAGAGTGTGCATGTCCAATCATTACTGAGGTATGCTGGCTCTCTGGACACAGGCCATGGGTGTAGCTATTGCTAAAACCCATGTGAAGTGGGTCTTGGTAGGAGAGATTATTATTAGAATATACTTGGTGCACATCTTGGTATTGCTGATGAGGCATAAATGTGAATTGGAGTATTAGTGAAAATATTGAGTGTGTTACTGGACTTATTTGAATAGGCTTGTTATATGGTGAGGCCCTATTGGATTGTAGTAGGGAATTTGCATAAGGAACATTATTGGCCTATTCAACAAGGAGCTTCATCATTGGAAGGTCCTGGGACCATTAGTTGAATATGTTGGAAGGGTACAGGGTCATTACTTTAGTGACTCAAGGATCTCAGTGGCCAAGTACTCTGGCCACCTGTGCTGTGTCCCCCCACCAACCTAGCAGAGAGGTTCTGCTCAATGCACAAGAGATCTCAGTATGAGGGCAGCATTTTGGCTTTGGGCATTTTGGAGTGCACTGTGGGTTATTGCTGATATAAATCTGACTACAGAGTAGGAATATTAGGAAACATGGAGGGGTCACTAGAGAGAGCCTGAGCCACAATAGCAGGTCTCCTGGAGTGAGGGATGGAAGCATGGAGCTTGGGGCTCACTCCACTCTTCTCTATCGCTCCCCTTTCCCACACACAGTGACTACATCATTAAAGAGAAGACCGTCCTGCTACAGAAGAAGGACAGTGAGGGGTTCGGTTTTGTGCTACGGGGGGCCAAGGGTGAGTACTAGGAATGGGGTAGAATGGCTGCTTGCTGAGCCCAGGGAATGGCGGAGGGGTTGTGGTCAGCTCTGCTACCTTGGGAGCCTGGGTCTGGCTCCTGTGCCCTCCTTGGGCTCCTCCCCCCTCCCCACCGACCCTCTCTGCTCCTCCCCGCAGCGCAGACCCCCATCGAGGAGTTCACTCCCACCCCAGCGTTCCCTGCCCTACAGTACCTCGAATCGGTGGATGAGGGCGGCGTGGCTTGGAGAGCAGGACTTCGGATGGGGGACTTCCTCATCGAGGTGAGCCAGCAAGCCCAGCCCCCAACTCCCTGGTGACCCTGTCGGGACTCAGGCATTTGACTTCCCAGTGTCTGGTTGTCCTGTCAGGGACCTAACATCTAGCTCTCGAGTCTCCAGGAACTGTAACCTTCCCTGCCAGGGAGCTAGGTGACGTCATAGTGGACAGAGCACTGGGCCTGGAGTCAGGAAAACCTCAGGTCAAATCCAGCCTCAGACACTTACTAGCTGTATGACCCTGGCCAAGTCACTTCACCTCTGCTGCCTCAGTTTCCTCAACTCAAAAATGGGGATAATAATAGAACTTTCCTTGCAGGGATGTTGTGAGGATTAAATGAGATAATATTTAAAAAGTGCTTAGCACAGTGCTGGCACATAGTAAAGACTCAATAAATGTGTGCTTGCTTGCTTTCTTCTTTCCTTCCTCCCTCCCTTCCTTCTTACCTTCCTTCCCTCCCTTCCTTCTTTTATTCCTTCCCTCCTTCCTCTCTCCCTCCCTCTCTCCCTTCTTTCCTTCTTTTCTTCCTTCCATCTTTCCTTCCTCTCTCCCTTCCTTCTTATCTTCCTTCCCTCTCTTCCTTCTTTCCTTCCTTCCCTCCCTCCTTCCCTCCCTTCCTTCCTTTCTTCCCTCCTTCCCTCCTTCCTTCACCCTCAGTCCCCGTGGTTCCCTCTCCCTTCAGGGTCCCATTCTTCTGGTTCTGCTCTCTGCTTAGACACATAGGCACCCTGGGTATCCAGCCCCCAGAAATTCCCCTTGGCTTCCTCTCCTTTCAGGGATGTCACTGAGCTAAAGGAATTTGGCCGCCCTCCTTCTTGCCAGTTCTTCAAAGACTTCCTGTCCTGGGAAAGGTGTAATGAGAGAGAGGGTGTTAGGTGGGAAGGTGTTTGTGGATTCATGGACACAAGCTGGAGAGAATGTCGGGGTTTTTGCAGGCTACATTGGAAAAGGGAGGAGATCCATGGAAAGGGCAGAGAGGGAGAGACCTGGGCTGATTACAGGAAGGGATGGAGTGAGAGATGTCATAGGGAAGAGAGAGAGCCTATGAAATCATGGGGAAGAGAGAGATCTTGGGAGGGTCCCAGGGCAGTAGAACTCTAACAATTACAGGAAAAGAGATGTCTGGAGATGACAGAAGAGACACCCATGGGGAAGTCACAAGAATGGAAAGTTTGGAGCAGTCAGCAAGCACTGAAGTGCCTACTGTGTGTCAGGTGCTGTGCTGAGAGCTGGGGTACAAGAAGGGCAGAGAGTGGTTCTGGCTCTCAAGGGCTCACAGTCTACTAGGGGTCATCAGAAGTTCTCAAGGAAGGAGATTGAGAAGAATCATAATGGCCAGCATCACTTTACAAGTATTATCTCACACAGTTCTCACAGCAGCCCTGGGAGATAGAAGCTAGTATTATTCCCATTTTACAGAGGAGGAAACTGAAGCAGAGAGAGGTGACCAGACTTGCCTAGGGAGTACTCAGCTAGGAAGTGTCTGAGGCTGGATTTGAACTCTAATCCTCCTGATTCTGAGTCAGACTCTTGGTGTACTGGGGCTCCCCCTAACTGTCTTGCTATATGAGAGTCCTGAGGAGGGAGACGTGCATCTGGGAATCACAGAGAAAGGGAGGTCTAGGGACAGGGGGAGTTGGTGGGGGGAAGGTCACAAGGAGAGAACGCTCTAAAGGGGTCCTTAGGTCAATGGGCCTTAAAGAAGTCCTGTAATCACCCTTTCTGTGTTTTATACCTACTTCGATGGGTTCACACTGTCTCTCCCAATACGGGGGAGGGCAGGGACAGTTTCATTTTCTTCTTTGGGGTGTTTCCATCCTAGGTGAATGGACAGAATGTTGTAAAGGTTGGGCATCGGCAAGTGGTCAATATGATCCGCCAGGGTGGCAATACCCTGATGGTGAAGGTGGTGATGGTCACACGGCACCCAGATATGGACGAGGCTGTTCACAAGAAAGGTGACCTGTTCCCTGGTCCCCAAGGGCCCTCCCTGTCTGTCAGAGATTTTTCTGAGACCAGACCTCCAACTTCCCACCCAGGGCACCCTGACTAGCCTGCCACTTCCTAACCATGGGCCTATAGGCCAGTTCCTGAACTTCTGTGAACTGGAGGTAATCAGCCTATCTCCCCCACCCCCAGTCTAATGAAGGGGATGTTATCTTTTACCCCTTGGGAAGTGCCTGCACATTGTAGGTCCTTAAGACATGCTCATTGACTGAGAAACCCCATCTATGGGGAAAGAGCCAGGCCAGGTCCTTGCTAGGGGAACCTCCCACCCCAGAGGAACTTTGGTGTGGATGGAGCAGATGCAGCCCCATGCACTGCGCCACCACTCTGCCACGGCACTAACTCGGCTCTTCATTCTTTCAGTGCCTCAGCAGGCTAAACGTCTCCCACCCCCCGCCATCTCATTGCGGTCTAAGTCCATGACTTCGGAGCTGGAGGAGATGGGTGAGGCGGCATTGAGTGGGGCAGGGGGAGGGGACCAAGGGCTTGTTAGTGTCACTAGTAGCAGGGGTCCTCGTCAGCACCTCTTGGAGCCTGCAGCGTCTGGCCCACTGTCTCTCTGGCTTTGCTCCCAGTCTGGTCTCCATGTCCTCAGTCCTCTCTCCATTTCTGTGTCTCAGGCTCTTCTGCAGTTTGACAGCTAGTAGAGCACATGGGTCCCGGACCAGGGGGTCCAAAGACTTGAGTTCTAGTCCTGGTCTGACCACATGCCAACCAGGGGACCTTGGGCGAGTCCCAAATCTTCTCTGGGCCTGTTTCCTGATATGTAAACCAGAGATAATATAAATACAACAAACATGGCTAAGCACCAACTGTAGCCTGAGTACCGTGCTGGTCCTCAGAAAAGGGGGCACAGTAGCAAGGTTAGACGAGACTTGGTCTCGGCCCACTTTCTGCAAGGTGCATAGAGCCCAGCCCCGCACCCACCTCACAGGACTGTTATGAGCAAAGTGCTTTCTAGGCCAAAGAGCTATAGAAATGGGAGCTGAGATGTGCCCGTCTCTTGCCGTCTTTCTGTTTCTCTGTGTGCCCCTCACTCAGTCCTTGCCCCTCACTGGCCACCCATGATAATACAGGAAGGTTCAAACCACCCCTAGGGCTTCAGGAGGGGGACATGGCCCCCTGGGAGGGCAGGTTTCCCTGGGGGTGAGGGGCGGGCAGTTTCCAAGACCCTGGGCCTCCCCCCCTCACCTCCTAATTCTTGGCTCCTCTGCTGCTCCCCCTGGCTAGTCTCCCCCTGGAAGAAGAAGAGTGGTGAGTGGGTCCCAGGGCTGGGGGGAGGGCCCCCAGGTACATCCCTGTCTCGTCCCCTTCCAATTAGCCCCCCAACTGTGGTGGCCCCAGGGGATAACCCTACACTTCCAGACAATCCATTGGCACCCTCTGTTTCACCCGGCTGGCAGACTCTTTGTTCTGTTCCCCCCCCTTGCCTGGGCTCCCACTGATCATCACCTGCCTCTATCCACAGATTATGAGCAGGCACCGATGCCTAGCGTGGAGAAGAAGAGGACGGTCTATCAAATGGCACTAAGTAAGCGTCAGCTCCTGCCCCCACGTCCAAGCTGCTTCCCATCCCTGGCCATGCCTTTGCCTTTCTGTCTGGCCACACACTCCAGCCCACTGCACTGAACGTTGCCCCATTCTCTGTGATCCCTCAGTCTGCCATCCCAACATCCTGTGCCCCCATTCATTTTGGCTTTATATTCTGTTCTCCTATTGTGACCCCCCTAGTTCTCTCTATCTCTACCCTCCTTCCTGCTGCCCATCCCCATGCTCTGTCCCTGACTCTTCTGTGCGTCCTCACACTTGGTCCCTCCTATTCTGTCCCCTCCCCAGTTCTCTCTCTACCCTTCCTCTTCCTGCTGTCCATCCCCATGCTCTGTCCCTGACTCTTCTGTGCGTCCTCACACTTGGTCCCTCCCTCCATTCTGTCCCCTCCCCAGTTCTATCTCTACCCTCCCTCTTCCTGCTGCCCATCCCCATGCTCTGTCCCTGACTCTTCTGTGCGTCCTCACACTTGGTCCCTCCCTCCATTCTGTCCCCTCCCCAGTTCTATCTCTACCCTCCCTCTTCCTGCCCATCCCCATGCTCTGTCCCTGACTCTTCTGTGCGTCCTCACACTTGGTCCCTCCCTCCATTCTGTCCCCTCCCCAGTTCTATCTCTACCCTCCCTCTTCCTGCTGTCCATCCCCATGCTCTGTCCCTGACTCTTCTGTGCGTCCTCACACTTGGTCCCTCCCTCCATTCTGTCCCCTCCCCAGTTCTCTCTCTACCCTCCCTCTTCCTGCTGTCCATCCCCATGCTCTGTCCCTGACTCTTCTGTGCGTCCTCACACTTGGTCCCTCCTATTCTGTCCCCTCCCCAGTTCTCTCTATCTCAACCCTCCCTCTTCCCACTATCCATCCCCATGCTCTGTCCCTGACTCTTCTGTGCATCCTCACACTTGGTCCCTCCTATTCTGTCCCCTCCCCAGTTCTCTCTATCTCAACCCTCCCTCTTCCCACTATCCATCCCCATGCTCTGTCCCTGACTCTTCTGTGCATCCTCACACTTGGTCCCTCCTATTCTGTCCCCTCCCCAGTTCTCTCTATCTCAACCCTCCCTCTTCCCACTATCCATCCCCATGCTCTGTCCCTGACTCTTCTGTGCGTCCTCACACTTGGTCCCTCCCTCCATTCTGTCCCCTCCCCAGTTCTCTCTCTACCCTCCCTCTTCCTGCTGTCCATCCCCATGCTCTGTCCCTGACTCTTCTGTGCGTCCTCACACTTGGTCCCTCCCTCCATTCTGTCCCCTCCCCAGTTCTATCTCTACCCTCCCTCTTCCTGCTGCCCATCCCCATGCTCTGTCCCTGACTCTTCTGTGCGTCCTCACACTTGGTCCCTCCCTCCATTCTGTCCCCTCCCCAGTTCTATCTCTACCCTCCCTCTTCCTGCTGCCCATCCCCATGCTCTGTCCCTGACTCTTCTGTGCGTCCTCACACTTGGTCCCTCCCTCCATTCTGTCCCCTCCCCAGTTCTATCTCTACCCTCCCTCTTCCTGCTGCCCATCCCCATGCTCTGTCCCTGACTCTTCTGTGCGTCCTCACACTTGGTCCCTCCCTCCATTCTGTCCCCTCCCCAGTTCTATCTCTACCCTCCCTCTTCCTGCTGTCCATCCCCATGCTCTGTCCCTGACTCTTCTGTGCGTCCTCACACTTGGTCCCTCCCTCCATTCTGTCCCCTCCCCAGTTCTCTCTCTACCCTCCTCTTCCTGCTGTCCATCCCCATGCTCTGTCCCTGACTCTTCTGTGCGTCCTCACACTTGGTCCCTCCTATTCTGTCCCCTCCCCAGTTCTCTCTATCTCAACCCTCCCTCTTCCCACTATCCATCCCCATGCTCTGTCCCTGACTCTTCTGTGCGTCCTCACACTTGGTCCCTCCTATTCTGTCCCCTCCCCAGTTCTCTCTATCTCAACCCTCCCTCTTCCCACTATCCATCCCCATGCTCTGTCCCTGACTCTTCTGTGCATCCTCACACTTGGTCCCTCCCTCCATTCTGTCCCCTCCCCAGTTCTATCTCTACCCTCCCTCTTCCTGCTGTCCATCCCCATGCTCTGTCCCTGACTCTTCTGTGCGTCCTCACACTTGGTCCCTCCCTCCATTCTGTCCCCTCCCCAGTTCTCTCTCTACCCTCCCTCTTCCTGCTGCCATCCCCATGCTCTGTCCCTGACTCTTCTGTGCGTCCTCACACTTGGTCCCTCCCTCCATTCTGTCCCCTCCCCAGTTCTATCTCTACCCTCCTTCCTGCTGCCCATCCCCATGCTCTGTCCCTGCCTCTTCTGTGCGTCCTCACACTTGGTCCCTCCCTCCATTCTGTCCCCTCCCCAGTTCTATCTCTACCCTCCCTCTTCCTGCTGCCCATCCCCATGCTCTGTCCCTGACTCTTCTGTGCGTCCTCACACTTGGTCCCTCCCTCCATTCTGTCCCCTCCCCAGTTCTATCTCTACCCTCCCTCTTCCTGCTGTCCATCCCCATGCTCTGTCCCTGACTCTTCTGTGCGTCCTCACACTTGGTCCCTCCTATTCTGTCCCCTCCCCAGTTCTCTCTATCTCAACCCTCCCTCTTCCCACTATCCATCCCTATGCTCTGTCCCTGACTCTTCTGTCTGTCCTCACACTTGGTTCCCCACCCCAGTTCTGTCTAATCTTGCATTTTACCTCTCCTTTTCTGCCCATCCTCACTTACCTTGGCCAGTCACTATCATATGGTCCCCTACACCGCCTCCCAACAACAATTTTGTCTGTTCCCCAAACTTGTCATCGCTGTGTGTCCATGACTGTGTCTGATGTGAATGCTCCCAGGGCTGATCTGTCTTCCTGTCTCCCCTCTCCCCTTGGCCTCTCTCCCCCTTTGTCTCTCCACAATCCCACTGGCTTTCTTCCCTCCCTCTCCCTTTCAGTTTCTCCACTGCAACCCCAGATCATTTTCCTTTCCCTCCACTGCATCCACTGAGCCCTGGTCACTCCTTCTGCCCTGCTCTCCTGCCTCCCCCCAGAGTCCATCCAGTCATGGAGAGTGACAGAAAGGGGTTGGGGAGGAGAGGAATTGGCTCGGTTTGCAGGCGAAGTGGAAGTGACCTTACCATGTGCCCTTCCTCCCTGCAGACAAACTAGATGAGATCTTGGCAGCAGCTCAGCAGACAATCAGTGCAAGTGAGGGGCCGGGGCCAGGTGGCCTTCCTTCTCTGGGCAAACACCGAGCCAAGGGCTTCTTTGCCACTGAGGTAAGGAAACAAGCGACCGGCAATTAGAAACCTGTCAGGTGAGGGGCCAGGCTGCTCTCGGCCCTGTCCAGCTTCTGAGGAGTCCCCGTTCTCCTTTCCTAAAACACAGAGAACATAGTCCTGCCTTGTTTCTGTCCAATCTGGGCCTCCGCTCTCACCATGTTGTCTGTCTGTTGGTCCCTCTTCAGTGTCTAGCACTGCACACCCTACTCCTGCTCTCCTCCTCATTGGCTCTGCCCTCCTCCCTGGCCTTCTCTGTTCCCAGGCCTGGCCGTGATCCCTGTCCCCATCCCCAATTCTCTCACTCTTATCTGTCCCTTCCCTCACCAGTCATCTCTCTTTCTAGCTCTGTCCATCCCTTCCCTCCTTTCCAGTCTTCTCCTTCCCATTGTGCTTCCCCTCTCCCTTCCTCCCTCCCTTTCTTTCCCCTTCCTTTCCTCCCTCCCTCCCTCCAGTCCTTCTTTCCTTCCTTCCTTCCTTCCTTCCTTCCTTCCTTCCTTCCTTCCATCCATCCTGCTTCAGCCCTTGGGGCTGTTCTCTCTTCCTCTTTTCTCTGTGTCCTCCGTTGACCCTTCCACGATAAAATGAGACAGGGGCTCACTACTCACAGGCCATTCTTGCCAGTTGGGCTTGTAGGCTTCTGGGATTTCTGCTGCCATGCCAAAGTCAAAAAATAGACCAAGTCTGTTCAGACTTCCCCAATTCTGTTCAATTTAAGATGCCTTTATCAAGCAACTCCACTGTGCCCGCACTATTCTTGATGCTAGGGATGCAAAGTCAAGAATGATGGCTTCGAAAGGCTTCCAGGTCTTGAGGGCAGGGGCTCTGGATCTTTGTGTGCCCTGGACCCCTTGGCAGAAGGCACAAGTGAAAACAAAGCAGAGAATCATCAAGGAGAGGAGGGAGAAAGAAGCATTTATTAAGTACCTACTGTGTATTAGGCCTTATGCTAAGCACTTTACAAATATCTCATTTGGTGAAGGAACCTGATTAGATTGAAAGAGTTACCAAAATATTTTTTAAAGCAAGCTTATGCACCTGCTGGAATCTCTGCACTGACTCCCCACCTCCCCAAGTCAAGAACGCCTTTACTAAGGGAATCTGGCATGACACAAAGAAAAGTGTTTTCAAAAGGGAGGAGACTCTGACCACTGAGAGGATTAATTCCCCAAACCCTAGTTACCCCAGTCACTGTCCTCTCCACCTCTGTCTTCCTTTTTAGACAGTTAGCTTCAGTTCATGCATGCACACACATGCGCACACATGCATACGTACATGTTTGCAATACACCACGCAGCATGTCATACACACACATGCATACATACATGCTTACAATACACCACGCAGCACAGTGTCACACACACACATGCACATGTATATGCACATACATTCTTGCAAACACATTGCACACACATACACATATATACATACAACACGCAGCATTGTGCATGCACACATGTACCCATGTATACACACATATGTCTACACATAGGCATATATGCATGTGTGTGTACACACCCATCACTGCACATTTCCTTTATCATGAGTCAAAGAATCCTTTCAAGGTAGACATCCTTTTTTGCAAATAAGAACTATAAGTTTCTGGAATGTTCTGGTTCTACCAATGATCCATGCATAGGGCTTTGGGCATATTACTCTAACCTCCAGTTGGAGTCTCTGTTTCTTCACCCATAAAATGAAGGGTTTGAAACTTTGGACTAAATTATTTCTAATGGCACTTTCTACTTTAATATTCTCCATGCATGAGAAGTATGTACAGGTAGGCTGGAGCCAGCTGTTATCCCAATGAGAACATTTACACCTCAGAAATCAGAAAATGCTACAAATCAGGCTTGACTGATTGTTTTGTTGGTTTTCTAGACTTGAGAAACTGAGAGAAAAGGTTAATGATGCAAATGAAAAAGTGTTAAAAGTGTTTCATGCAGATATTCCTTCCCTTGGGAGAGCTGGTTATTAAATGTGCATAGCACACCTCTGACTACAAAAAGGGAGATATTCTGGGACCTCCTCCAGCTCTGCCCTCTGCATTTTCCATGGCTCTTGAGACCCCTTTCTCAAAGCAGCTTCTCTCTCAAATCTCAGTCTTCCTCTTCCTGGGCACTTCCTTCCCTCCTGCAAGTCTTGTCTGGCCTAAGACATGCAGTGGTCCTTGGCCCTCTCTTACATGTAATAGGTCTTAGATCAATTGATTTGCTTTCTGGTGAAACTGCAGCTCCTGGGGCCTCTGCATGCATTGACTTTCCTCAAAGTCAAGATGCTTCATCTCTTCTTATCTTCTTTTATCTCACTTTCCCCAACGGAGACTTGGCTACTCTGGCCATGAATGACCCAGGTTTTGAAGAGATCATTCCTTCCTCTAGCCCCCTGGTCACCTTCCTGGTGACAGAGCAGTACTTGTATATTTGTAACAGACAAACGCATGGGAGGAGATGGACAAGGGTCACATGGGAGGGGCTGCAGTCGACATCATTGAACAGAGTAGATGAATGAATGAGATTGCCAAATCCACTTCAGTACTTGAGTAGCCAATTTCTAGAACATATTTATGTTGGACACAAAATCATAAGATTTTAGAGCAGCAAGGACAGTGAGAGCTCTCCCTGCCATTTCCAGGCTCTCCCTCTGCCCCCGTCCCTCACTGACTTCTCCTTGAGTGGGCTTCCTCCAATCCATATCTGCCTCTCAGTCATGGTCCTGGTAGCTGTTGTCTACCGACCTCAAGAGACTCTCCTTCCTTCATCAATGAGGTCAGTGCTGGCTTACAGTCTTATCTCCTCCTTCACTCCTGCCATTGTATTGGGGACTTCGCCTATTGGCACACCTTCAAACACCCCAACTTCTCAGTTCTTCAACTGATTGATTCATTTCCCATAAGCTCCTCCTCCACCTCATCACAGACACACACAAAGATGGTTATACCCTTGATCTTGTCATCACCCATAAACGCACAATTTGCGTATTGGAGAACTCCAAAAATCCCCTATCTAATCAACATCTACCGTCATTCTCCATCTGCCTCTACCTTCCAATCTCCAACCCCTTCTTTGTCTAATCCCTTGGCCTCTCAATTCTTTCCCAGGTCATCACCCCTGCACTAGCTGCACTCTCTTTTCCCATCTTGACCCCTTGGTGAACCATTCCAACTCCATACTGTCTACTTCTTTTAAGTCTTCTGCTCCCTTATCCAACCCCCAATCTAGCTATGCCCACCTCAGCCTTAGATCATTCCCACCATCTGTGGCCTTCATTGCTACACATGTACTGCTGAATGAAGGTAGAAAAATCATGCAACCATTCTGATGGGACCCACTACACATTTATGTTACACAGCCTTAACTGGGCCCTCACTACTTCTAGGCAATCTTACTACACCTGCTTTATTAATTTACTCTCCCACTCTCCACAGCAGCTCCTTCAAACCTTTTTGTCCTTCCTTAACCTCCCATGGCTGCCCTTCCCCCTACCCTTTCAGCTGACAACCCTGCCTCATATTTTACAGAAAAAATTGAGACCATTCATTGTAAGCTTTCTCTCCTCCTCCTCATCTTGCATCACTAACATGCCTTCCTCCATTATCTCCTTCACCCTTGTTTCATCTGATGAGGTGACCTTTCTCCTTGCCAAAGCAAACCCCTCTACAGGCACAAGGGATCCCATTCCATCCCATCTACTCCAGTGGACCGCCCCCATCCCATCCTCTCCACTCTCTTATTCATCTTCATGTTTCCCTGTCTACTGGCTCCTTCTCTATTGCCTACAAACATACCATTGTCTCCTTAAAAAGTCCTCACTTGCTCTATCCATCCTCACTAACTATATTCCCATATGTTTCTTCCCATTTGTGGCTAAATGCCTTGAGAAGGTCATCCATGATAAGTTCCTCCATTCCCTTTCTTCTCACTATTAACTCTCCACATCCCGGCCCTGCTAAGCCTTAGCCTTGGATCACCCCTTATCATTTGACTGAAACTGCTCTCTAAAGTTACTAATTATCTCTTAATGTCCAAACCCAATGGCCTTTCCTCCATCTTCATTTTCCTTGACCTCTCTGCAGCCTTTAACACTGTAGGTCACTCTCTCCTCCTTGATCCTCTCTTCTCTTCAGGTTTCTCCCTCTACTCTACTTCATTTGGTGATCTGTTCAGCTCCCATGAATTTAATGGCCATCTTTATACTGATGATTCTCAGATCTACTTGTCTAGTCTGGCATCTCCAGCTGGATATCTTACAGACGCCTCAAACTCAACATGTCCAAAACATGTCCTTATTTCCCCCCAAACCTTCCCTCACCCTAACTTTCCTATTACTGCTGCGAGTACCACCAACCTCCCAGGCACACAGGCTTGCAAACCAAGTGTTGTCTTTGACTGCTCACCCTCTCAGCCCCATATCCAACTTGTTTCCAAGCCCTGCCAATTCTACAATTGTAACATCTCTTGTATCCACCCTCTTCTCTTTTCTGACACCTCCACCAGCCAGTACAGGCCATCCTCACCTCACATCTGGACTTTTGCAAGAACCTCCTGGTTGGCTTTCTTGCCTCCAGTCTCTTCCCACTCCGGTCTATCCTCCATTCAGCTGGCAAAAGTGACTTTCCTGAAGTACATATCTGACCATGTCACCCCTAACTCAGTAAAGTCCAGTGGCTCTCTGTCACCTCCTGGACCAAATATGAAATCCTCTGTTCGATGTTCACCGCCCATGCCTTTCTGGCCTCCTTACATCTTGACCCTCTGCACATACTCAGACTCAGTGACACTGGCCTCCTGGCTGTTCCTCAGACACAACACTGGATCTCTGGACTCTGGGCATGTTTCTGGGCTGTCCATCATGCCTGCCGTCTGCCTCCTGGGGTCCTTAAAAGCCTTGCTAAAATCCCCCTTCTCTGACAGGCCTCTCCGGGTGCCTTCCCTCTGTTGACTATCTCCCGTGTGTCCTGTCCAGATCTTGTTTGTACATAGCCATTGTCATGGAGTCCC